ATGACAAAAAAATGATACATATGATATAAAGTAGATGCATAATATATATTAAAAACTTGTTCATTTCCACTCAACTGTGAAAATACACACTTACAAAATTACAGAACCAAGCTGATACTACACTGTACTTTACAGTAATGATAATAACAAGTGCTCTCAGAACAGTTACCATCCAGATTCACTGTTTCTGGTTTTCTGTTGGTTGAGCTTTCACCTAAAGTAACACCAGACAGTTATTTAGATGAAAATAGCGTGAACGTCTCAGGAGCGTTCAGTGGAATATTCTATATTGGCATAGTTAGTACAGTAAACAGGTAGTATCTATCCTTGTTCGCCTGCGGTCAAATGTTGTTCCATCTGTGGTTGTTTGCTGTGCAAAGCCATAAATGTCTTCATTCTGTAACCTTATTCAGCGCTCAGACTGGACATCCTTATTTCAGGGCTGAAAGTAGTGAAAATATTGATGGATTGAGGTATTATGGTTTTGTGTGCACCAGATCCACGCTGGCTTGGTATTTACAGTTTCATTTTAAGCATCAGAGACAATGTATGCACGTCTTTGTTCCCAAATAACTCCTTCTCTCAGCATGCAGATTTAGAAGTTCCATAGCTGATTATTTCAGATTATAAACAGGCACCAAAGAGGGCTTAAAAAGTATGGAAGATATAAAAACTTTGCTTTACTGCAGTAGTTGGTTCTCATGTCATTTGCAGCAGAACAATTTACTGCTTAGCATGCAGTACTTCTACAACAGTAACTGTATGACTACTAAGTACATTTACTCAAGCACTGTACTTATTGTAACTACAAATGTAAAGTACTTGTAATATACTTGAATATTTCTATTTTTTACTGCTTTATTGCATTTCAGGGAGACATATTGTACTTTTTACTCCACTAAATATTAAAGTCTGTTCTAATTATTATGTACTGTAGGATTCAATTCATTAGATGCCACAAATATTAGTATGCAATCATCTGCTTTTTCAAAATAATACTCAGTTTATTGTTACTCTCAAATGCTAGTTTGTCTCTAGTAAGTAAAAAATTAATCAAGGCCATTAAAATCTCATTTAAAAGGGGGACATGAACAAATCAGTGGCATCAAATTCTGGACAGACTGGACAGACAATAATCATTGTCTCATAATAAGAATATCCTAAGAAAATCGCCACACTGCCTTTGCTTTTTATAAGCTGGAGCAGAGGCTATGGTTCAATCTCGCATTTTAATTTGTGTCATTTATTAACTTTTTAACTTTAAGTAGACCTGAAAATGGAAGTAATGCATTTTGTTTAATTATTTGCATCGGTATATGCATTTAACCTCTTCACTCTCTCTGTCTCTTTTCATTTCTTACTTCTCTGTGTGTTGTTGCCTCTTGGCAAATAGATTTTCCATCACTACGTAAACCTTCCCACCTCTTGTTCTGATATAAGTTAGAGCAGAATTTGATTTCTTTACATCCAGACATGTAATTTGTGTCTGAAAGTGACAAATGCAACTGCAGCGAGGGAGTCAGCTGCTCTGAGCAAATGTCTGTCTTTAATTTGCGCTGTTTGCTCTGCATCACTGAACCAAAAAAACAAGACAAGAAGTTTTTTTTTGCTGTACCTCCAGGCACTGTATGGCATACATGTTAGTTTGTCTTTCATTGTGTGGATACATATTGCATTTTGTTGCAGTATGGTTCAAAGCACTATGAAAAACCCTATATGAGACCGTAGAAAATCCTGGTGCTGTGTGCGCTGATGTATGCTTTAGTTTTAGCACTGGGCTTTAATTTCTGCGTTTTCATTTCCACTTTTCTTGTCATGCTCTGTTAAAAATAAATGTGGTCATTTTCAATACAGTCACATTTGTCATTGCTCAAAAGTGATCCACAGGAAAACAGCGAGCCAGTCAGTGTGACCTATTAGAATGGAAAATGTTTCCTTGACTGGAAAACCACACCTGAGGTACCAACCCACTCTCAAACACAATGTTCAAAAGCTAAGAAAATATATGGTATAAGAAAATGTTGGGAAATAAAATGTTGTTTTTGTCCATGTTATAACTTTGTCATGCCAGATTAGTGATCATATAGTGGATAAAACCACAGGAATATAAACTGGGGCTATAAACACCAAGTGAAACTGACACTGTTTAGTCAAGGAAAAACACAGTACAACCTTTTTTAGCTTCATGACTGTTACAACAGAAATAAATTTACCGCTTTGCTCATGAACACTTTGATGGGTAGACTGTTGCAGTTAAAGTACGATCTAATCTGACCTACCAGATACAGAACAGGCTGTCTAACATTCATGCCACACTGTTGCTTTCACTCATATTCCATTTAAGAAAATGTCAGTAGTGTACATTTTGAGAAACATTTCACCAAGAGATTTAGTAGTGTACATTTTGAGGAAAATTTCACCTAGGGATTTAGTGCTGTCCGCAGCACTAAGACCAGGGGTGCTAAGAGCAGTGGTTAGAGGGTTGTGAACCAACTGTGAAGAGAAAATCATGTCTGGAGATAGCAAAAGTTGTTAATTCAACATTGAGATATGGTCAAAAAGCAGCAGCAGTCAGTTTAAATGTTACAAAACTGCCATTAAATTGACGTTGTATTTGGGTCATGGTTTCAGCAATGGACTAAAGATGGATGACACTTATCCAGTTCCTCCCACACACGATAACTGTGGTGTCATGGTTATATTTCTATGCTTCGGAGAAGTCAAAGACAAATTTCCACTAAGCTGGACAATAAAGTCTAATCTAATCTAATACAAAAATGACGCCAAAATATCCCAGATATGTGCACTGCCATCTTGCACTAGTGACGTCAAGCCAGCAGTGCCAGAGTCGGCATAGAAGTGATCAAGGTTGTAGCCGCGGTATTGCCCATACACCTGGCGGACTCAATCTCAAGCAGGTCAGTTGTGACGTGAAACCCCCGTTTTATAGCATGAAATAACTAATTAATATCAAACCTACCAGAAAAATGAACACTTAAAACTTTTATTATACATGATTTTTTTATTTGGCCCATGTTCCATCCGCTAATATGGAGGGGGCAGGGTTTATGATCGACAGCAGCCAGCCACCAGGGGCCGATCAAGATGTTTTGTCATGCAGTCATGTCATCCATCTTCATATACAGTCTATTGTTTCAACATTGAAGTAGAAACATTTAATCGACATTGTCTCAATGTGCCTACTGCCACCTTTCCTGTATATATATATTTTAAATTAAATGAGGACTTGAGAGCAGTAATTTTAGGTGGGTGTGGGACACATGTCTTTTCAATAAAGCATTTTCTTCTTTGTGATGCATGCAACTTGTTTGGTCTAAAATTAAAAAGAATACAAAATAATTTATATGTGATGAAGAAATCTGAAAGTTGTTTTTGAAGGGAAATGGTAAATTAAAAAATGCTATATTCAACTACGTTAACTCCAACGTTTTCTTCATCTCTCACCAAGGTAAGTTTAAAAATTTTAACTAAGGAAAATGCCAGGTCAAATAATAGGTGCATTATTATTTAGGTTGATTGATTGTTATAGTTGTAAAGCTAGGCTAGTTTACTCTGTAAAGCTAGCTAGCGTTAGGCTTATGTTATCCATTACTGTCTTATGTTGACAAAGGGTCTCATTTTCAGTCTCACTGAAGCCAGCATATACCTGGCTTCTCGTGCAATTACAACCAAATAATGTAAGGTTAAAAACAGCCTCTTTTCTGCTGAGCAATTTGGTGAAAACAGATATGTTTGCTAGGTTAACAGCAAACTTTAAAAAAAAGTTAAACATTTTCATTTAGCTATTAAATGTCACCTTTGCTGGTTGTGCTCAAACTTTTAAACTTACATGCTGACCTAAGGGATCCGAATGGATGTCATGGATATCAAAAGAACATAAAAGACTCATCAGCATTTTAAAGTCATATTTTTGCTTAAAGGTAAACTTTCTGCTGGTTCATTTTCAGGATTCATCTTAATAGTATCTGCAATTCAATCAGTCAGACTTGTCAGACTTTGACAATAGGTGCGTCTGAGTTCATGAGTTAGAAAGTTAGAAATTGTGTCCGACTTTCGGTGTCCACACTTGCTTTTCTCCAGCTGCACAAAGTTGGAACCACCTGTTACCTGATCTCTAAGCATGTTTTGTTTGCAAATGACTATTTCCTGTTTTGAATACTAGCAGAACGGTTCTGGCCATAAAGGTTTTAACAATGTAAAAAAAAATACAAATAAAATCTGTCTTCTTCTTCTATGTTCTCCAAGTATTTCACTCAGTGTTTTGTTTGCAAGGTATGCTGTGTCTTCTATTTGTATATATACGTGTAAATTATTTCTCTTAATATATTTGGGATATAAGAGTAGAATTATAAATATCCCACATTTAGTAATTGATCCTATAACTTACTTTTTGGAAATGTTTATGAGTTAGCCAGTTAATTTTTTTCGTTTAGTAAAGTTTTCTTATAATTTATTATTATATATGTAGAGAACAATATCATGTACACATGATGTCATGAAAAGGTCTGGTTTCTTGTAGTTATTTACTGTAATATTGTTTCAATATATTAAAATAAACTGAAATTCAATTCCAGGCACCCTTTCATATAATGGGTGAATCAGTGTTGATTCAGTGTCAGTCATGATTGAAAAGCTGACATTTATCCAACATTAAACATAACAATTTGGTTTCACTGTCAGGCATCAATGTGGATTCAGTACTTCTGCCTGAAAATATTTCACTGTTGATTCATATTCATGATTCATATTTTGCAAACTGAGAGCCAACTTAATGCTAATTCGCACTGCATGAGTAAAGCCAGAACCTTTGCTTTAGATCCAGATGGAACCACACTGTCTTCTTCAGATGGATCAAAAATGGAATACTGCTTTATGATGTTGTTTATTGATTTGGGTTTATAACATGCATTTTGCACATCGCTGCCATTTACACTTAAAAATTTCCCCTATTAACGCCATGTCATTGTCTTTTTTTGCAGGTTTATGCAGATGATGTACTGACTAAAGAGGAACAGATAGGCCTGTTGTTCAGAGCCAAACGGAAATGTGAAGGATATATCAAGTCAAAGCACAAGATTCCTGGTGAGTAAAGAAACAAGAATAAGAGTCTACTACTACAGCCATGCTAGGTGTTAGGCAAAGCAGTGCTTTGAACTAAACGCTAATATCAGCATGCTAACATGTTCACACTGACAATGTTAACATGCTGATTTAGCAGGTATAATTTTTACCATGTTAAACAACTTTGCTAACATTTGTTAATAAGCCCTGAACACAGTACAGCTGAGGCTGATGGGAATGTCAGTAGTTTTGCCGGTATTTGGTCATAAACCAAAGTATTTGACAAATTGCTAAAACCATTGACCTTAATGGTTGGCACTAGAGGAAGAGTCAGGGGATCCCCAAATTTATTACAATTAATCTTGAGGGGGATAGGAATGTGTGTGCCAAATTTCACAACAGTCCAGTCAGTAGTTGGCTGTGCGCCGGGTGTAACACCCATTCACTTCATCTCCCCATTAAGAAAGATGCTGTGCACATTTACGCATGAGGAGCATAACTTCATTGATTATTTAAATCTCCCGACACGCAGACAAGACAAGTCAGGATGCACTGACAGCAGCCTTTCTAATCATTAAAGTAAATCGTTAAAGAATGCACTCATACATCAATACAAAACACAATAAAAAATCACCAGGAAGAGAGAAATGTGACCCATGACCAGTTCATCTTAGTTTGTAATAATGCAGCGCACTGAGGATACAGATGTTTCATAGACAAAAGGAGTATAATATAACATGGATCCATCTGTCTGTCACTTTTAAAAGGCACTCCAGTCCACAGTGTAATTCATGCACTTCACATATAAAGAACAGAACTGTAAAGTAACATTAGGCTTCATGATCAAACAAAGTTTTTATGTCATGTCGGCACTTAAGTCCATACTCACACATTTTTGCTCGTCCACATAAGCTCTCTCTCTCTCTGCAAGTCTGCATCATACTTTTTAATTTATTTGTATATTATTACAGTTTTTAAGTTTTAGTTTTAGTTTTTAATGTGCCATTCCTGCACCATTTAAATAGTAATAGTAGTAAAGCGAGATGACAAGAAAATGGGAGATGACATTGGTTAATTGCATGTTAAGCCCAAAACACACCAATGACTAATTCACAGACAAAGTACAACCCCTTTGAACTATTTTTTCAACCATTAACCTAGCAAAATTGGATTTGGACACAACCTAAACACAACTGTGCCATGCGCTTTAAGCAGTGCACTTAGATAGTTTAAGTAGGGCCCAAAATCTTAACACATCAACCTCATGATGGCGCTAGTGGGAAAGTCAGAGGACCACTAAAATCAGTAGGATTCATCCTCAAGGTTCTATGAATGTCATGGCAAACCATGTAATAATTGTTAAGATATTTCAGTCAAGACCAAAGTAGTGGACCGATTGTAGCAACGCTGCTGAGGATAGCAAGAATGACTATTGTGGGATGTCTTTTTTGCCACTGATCTGATTTTTTTTGCAAGGACATCCGTAATCTCTCAAGTGCTGGTAGCTTTTCTTCTTTAACTGGATCTTGATTTCTGTCATAGCATAGCAATTACATGAGTGTGGTAAATAGATATCAGACTAAATCGATAAACATGTCCATCATAGTTTGTGTATATTGACAAAAATGCCTACTTGAGCAACAGTAAAGGAAACTAATTATGTAGGATGTGTGACTCGTGATGGTAATGACCCACTTCATTAGTCTTGATTAGGTTTCTAATAGTGTGATTTTCCACTACGTGCAACAAGTTGCTTTTAAAAGATTTCTGTCAGAGACACTTGTGTTTATAGTAGGCCGAGCCATGTATCACAGCAGAATGGTTTTATTTGTCAGAATAAGCTTAGCTATTGTGGGAGCTCCCCAATGACTTACAGCTGGAGCGAGAGGTTCGATGGAGAGAGTAATAAATCCCCCAGGGGCTACACAGATTTGAAATACACATAATGTGCAAGGCAGGGGATGCCATCAGACGTAGGAGGAGTATCAGGAAAAATCTGGACTGAAGAAATCAACAGAAAAAGTAAAGTTATTCTAGGAACTGTGTAAGTAAACAACAGAACCATGATGATCACAAGAGTGAAAGTGAGAGGGAGTCAGACTGCAAAGACTGCGTTGTTGTCTTGATTGAACGTGATTGGTGACTTGCTTGAATGTGATTGTTGATTATAAGAGCTTATACTAATCAGCTGATGTAGCACACTCCTGCGCTTTACGAGAACCACCTTGATGCTTCATTAAAAAACTTCAAGATAGATACAGATTTTGGAGACTGTTACCTACTTTTTGCTGATAGGTTCAAATCAAATACCTTTTTTGGAGCAGTAGCCAGGCAGTTGAATGTGTACTGTAGTTTGATGGTTACATTATAAAATGCTGTTCTGTTTCCTCAGTCCTCCCTGTGGCTTTCCAACGGCTGGGATTGAAGGCGAAGCTGATCCTGGGGTGTATTTGTGTATTTATGGGTGTCTGAAGAGCACCATTTTCCAGCAGACCCCAGCTTCTACTGTATCCCATTGTGGTTACTGTCATTTTCCCAGTTGATTGTTCAGAGGAGGATTTTAGATTCCACAGCCAAACCAATCGTATTATTTTCTCATTAACTCCAGTGCCTTGTGGTCACATCGAGTTCTTCGACCCTCCAAACGATACCCCTTGTAAATGAAACACATAATTAAAAATGTTTACTTCCAGGGTAAGAGGACAAAAGCTTTTGTTGACCGTTCCCACTAGTTAGTTACATTGCCCCATGTGGTATTTTCCAACTTTTCATGGTTTTGATAAATGTCCACAGATCTCAAAATTGGATTTGAAAAAATATGACAGAATTGCTACTATTGAGAACTGCAGGCGCCAAACAGCAGCTTGCATAAGATGTCCAGGGTTTATATAACAACGTTGTGCTTTTTCTCAAAGCGCATTTACCAAGACGGCCATAGATGCTAATGCAGAGCAGTCAAACATTAGGCCTCTCTCAGATGAGGTTGTGCTGTTCATCTGACCACCATCATGCCTAATCCATCCTGACATGTTGTAGTGACTGGCAAGCCTGGTGCCACCACCAAGCACATTTGCAGCTCTCTTTTCATTTACATAATGTTTGTAGATTTAATTTGAATGTCAGAATTTAAAAATATTGCTGCATGAAACCAAGTGAGAAATTTCATGCAGTCTTGGCCAAACTTAGATGAGTGGCACATATGTCACATTTTATAATTACTTAAAGGAATAGTTTGGCATTTTGGGAAATGTGCTTAAATGTGCTTATGTGCTAAACCTTTTGTAGAAAGAAGCATGCAAATGACACATTGTATTTGTGCTATGCTAAGCTAACCATCTGCTGCTGGCAGCTTCATGTTTGCTGTACAGCGTGGTTTTCCAAAATTATGAACTATTCCTTTAATTGTTGATGTGAGTCAGTGTAATAGCTACATTTTCTCCATGCAGTGTAGAAACAATTAGTCAGGTGATTTTAGTGACTGGTTAAGTCTTTTATCAAGGAAAAGTGCCAAATATTCTCTTTTTTTCCGGCTTCTCAAATGTGAGTACTGTTTGTTTCACATGATGAAAAAGTTTTATAAAATTTAATAAATTGGTATCTTGAACTTGGGCGGTGGTTAGCACTGTTACCTCACAGCAAGAAGGTTATGGGTTCAAACCCCGGTTGCCCCAGCCTTTCTGTGTGGAATTTGCATGGGATTGGCTCCAGCCCCCCGTGACTCTGTACGCAGGATTAGCGGTTTACGATGGATGGATGGATGGTAGTTCGAACTGCTGGGTGGATAAAACAATTCTCTGTATTATTAACATTTTTGTAGGCTAAACAATTATTGTATAATATAAATAATAGTTAGCTGCGGTCTTATGCAGTGCACTATACTCTTTCATGGGCATATTTTTCTGCCTGTACATTTGGGAGGACGTTGATACTGAATCTGGACTCTTAACAAGACCGTTAGGAATGTCTGACTGGGATTCTGTAAACGCCTTGAGGTGGTGTTTTGGGGGTACATCAGCACATGAGAGCTGACCTGCATACCTGATGATGGTGATGTGACTCCTGCATGTGATGGCTGTTTTCTGACCTCTTTTGGAAGATTGCGCATATGTGTTCAATCACATAACAGTTGGCAGAATTAATATAAACATATTACCTTAATAAAGAAAAGTAAAAAATCCCTGGTGTGGTTGTACGCATGGATAAGCACGTATGTGCTCATTAAACATGCTTGATTTCAGATTTTGTTTACTTAATGGCACATGAATTGCTTTGACTTCAATTCATTGAACTTGATTTGAACTCAAGTGTCTCATCTGGTTGTTTGTTTGCAGTTATGTAATGTGGAAATCATTTAAAATCTGGGTTGTGGTTTGTCTGTGATGCTGAGTAAAATTTAGGAGACTGTCGAGATTTCAGATAAAGTTCAAGGAAAGCATTACAATTACCGTGCTTTCTGGTGACCCATGTAAGCGTTTTCCTTGAAGTGATCATTAGGATTTGGACAGAATTCAGTCATGTCATTTTTTTAAAACATTGTCCTTTTTTTATTCCTGTATTGTGGTGTGACTTTGAATGTGTGGGTTGAGGTAAAGTCAGAGAATAGCAGCTAGCGTGCATTTTTGAGGACTTTGGCTTTAAATCTGTATTCATCTTGCCTGTGTCCTGCCTGACCACCCTCAGAGTTTTTTTCTGGCACTGTAAACTTGTGGTTTTCTGAGCTATTATAGGAGATGTGGAGTGATGACTATTTTAAAATGCTTGTGTAAAATGTAGGATTTTTTCTGACTGAGTAATGAATTGATCGTGCAATTCTAGGTTCACTGAGAAAAGGATTAGGTCACTGTGTGAGGCGAAAATGTCGTTTTAGGATGTATTTGAACCTTGTATTTATTTGTTTTTATTTCTCATTTGTGTTTAAATACACAAAAGTCTCCATTACGTGACTAAGACAAGGTTTTCATTGAGGGAAACACTGAGGTTTGCCTGGAGACTACAGTGGAGGGATGTGGGTTCAATGCCCCAGACCTTGCAGTGTGAAAATAGCTCAGCCTTCAAGCTTGTGGTCTGGGTGTAGAATAACATCAGCAATCATTATAAAAAGGTTGCGTGCATCATGAGAATATGCAATATGTGTTTTTACATCTGCAGGTCAGAATCAAATGAGTTTGGGGGAAATAAAACCTTATTAAAAAAGTGACATCACTAATACCAAAGTCCCCCCATAGTCACATTTATATTTAAATCGTGGTCAAGAAACATATGGGAAATTATATATGTGCTTGTGTTCAGTGTTTAATTTAAGCCTGTTAGTAGGTGGTCCTATGGTAATAAAACCTATTGCAAAAGTGAACAGCAATTCTAGTTTTACTTCCAGGATGTGTGGTGTGATTTTCAATACTAAATGCTGTTTTTCTCCCACCAGAGGTCTGCAGGAATCAGTCTGCTCCACTCAGTCTGCTCTTTAATTTTGTGCTTCAAGTGACAGGCAAATAAAAAGCATGTCGTCATTGCTTCAGATGTTTCTTTGTAAGTTTGATTACAGGAATGAGAAAATAATGGATCTACTGCAAAGAGAGGATAGTTTTAGTTTTATCCTTAGCTACTTATTAGTGGTCAAAGTGGGGCAGATGTTTTCAATAATACAACATAAATGCCAAGCCATAAGGGAGGCTTTTGCCAGGAATCTGTGGGGAAAGGGACTTTGCTCCCACTATCAGAGGGCTGAGGTCCATGGTTTAGCTGACAATTAAGGGGCTCTACGCTTGAAAATGGCATTTTTTGCCTTTGAACCTGCAGCTCATTGTCTGAATGAAGTATAGATGTTTTTTTGTGATCTTCAGGAAAAGCGCTCCATCAGCAATCTTGAAGGAGTCTGAAGAAAGTGAGAAAAATACTGAGAAGTTCTTTTTACATGCTACATGTTTCTCACCACAATCTAAAAACTTTAATTGAAAGTTTTATTTGATCAGCCAGTCCTGGAATTGAAACAAAAATGTATATACAGGATATGTTATAATAGTTTTTATTGCTTTGCCTGGTTATGTTTATTCATTAAAAATGCAAGGATGACAAAAGAAATTCTAGAAGATATGATAAGATAATTAATATCAATTAAGTTTATTTGTTAATAATATTTTTATTTTTATTAGATAGTGACAGTAGAGAGAAGACAAAAGATCACCACCAGGGTTTCCCGACAATTAAGATGAAAGCTGAAATGATTAGTTGATAAATCGATTCATTAATCAATAGAAAAATAATTGGCAACAATTTTGGTAATTGACCAAATGTTATGGTTTAACCAAGCAAAAATGGTAAATATAAGTTTGCAGCTTCTCAGATGTAAATATTTGAGATTATTCTGTGTGATATAATTTCTAATTGAATATCTCAGGTTTTGGACTGTTGGTCTGACATAACAAGACATTTTAAGAATTGTCAGCTGTTATGAAATTTCATAGACCAAGCAATTAACTGATTACTTGGAAAAAAATAGAAAAATCAATAATGAAATTGACAATTGTTAGTTGCATCCCAAATTAAGATGTATTTGATGCAGGTAAAAAAACACAACCTTATTGTACATAGAGTTAAATATAAATATATATAGATATATATATATATAAAAAATAGCACTTTTTTCCCCAAAATAGGCTAAGGATACAACAATTCAGCCAGTGTTGCAGGAATTCCTCTTAATGATATCCATTCTGAAACCAGTTATGGAAATCTGCTAATAAGCTAACAAACACGCTTTAATGAACACACTAGATTCAGTGGACAGCTTGTTATCTGCATCCTGGGAATTCCATGATTATGGGTTTTAATTATATTACAAAAGATGGGGGGTGGGGGTATCCTTTGGATGACCCCTGTTTTCATTCAAGAAAACAAAAAAGGTCTAATTTACAGTACAGGCGTACCACTAATTGCACAGCTGCTCTACAGTGCTAATTTACATACTGTATAAAGTTCGTGTATCTGACCTACTTTTTAAAGGACAACTGAATCCTTGAAAACATACAGTATTGCTACTCTTGGAAATGTAATGTTGGGACCAAGGGAGGACAGCACTCTGTGTCTCTATTTTTAAAAGTCAGCACTGCTTTTTGTCTCCACAGATGGTTTCTGCTCACCAGAATGGGACGGTATTGTTTGTTGGCCTGAAGGGCCTCCGGGAAAGCTTGTATCCACCTCCTGTCCAGACTATATCTATGACTTCAACCATAAAGGTAAGACTGGTCCTGGATAAAGTCAGCAGTTGAAACCCAGGAGTTTAATTTCAGTTGGTGAAAGAGCACCAGGCTACGGGTGCTTCTGCACACTGACAATCATAACTGGGCTCTCTCTGAAACCTTGTTTGCAATTTATACAATTATGCAGCATCTTGTAAGAAACAAGTAGAGGATGAGTAATTGACTGTGTGGCAAACCGCTGGCAAAATCTGTAATTAAAAATATACTTTTCTATTTGGTGTCTAGGACTAGCATACCGTCGGTGTGACAACAACGGAACGTGGGAGCAGGCCACAACCAACAAGACATGGGCCAATTATAGCGAATGTGCAAAATTCCTCTACCATTACAACCATAGCCATGAAAAGGTGAGGTACATCGCTTCACCATTTACATACTCATAGACACACTTACAGTTCTGAATAATTAAGAGCATGTCTGTTGTGAAATGTATTTTGTATTATACCCTGCAATTACAATCCCTTTCAAATGTGTAACACATTTTTGACATGCCCATTAATGAAATGTTGAGATGATCATGGGGGTGGGTGGGGGGTGGGGGGGTAATGTGGATGGATGGAAATGTGGTTGCTTTGTGATTATATGAGGATGCAATTAGCTAAATGTCCGTTCAAACATAAACTGAAACAGTGTCACATTACTGCAAATTGCAAAACTTCCCAGAAATGATTTAATTAAAAAAACTCACCAATCATGACTAAACCTCAAAGCTGCCTTCACAGCAACTAGACAAGTGATAAGGAGCCATTTAGACCCAAGGACTCTGCAGTGTACTGATGTTGCTTTCCTGATAATGATTTTATCAAACAAGAAGGAGTGTCTCACTTCCATTTGAGGCTACCAGTATGCTAAGTTGTGTATCACATATTTAAAGTGTTAAAGCTGTATGCGCTAAACTTTATACTAATGTGTGAGTGTTGAACATCTTCCAAGATTTTGAAACCTGGCTGCAAGAATTTGCTTCAGCCACAAGAACATCGCTTAGGTAACTGTGACCTGGCTCACAGTCGGCGGTCCACCGCGTCCCAGGTGTCCTCAAGGTGTAAAATGGGGTTTGTTCTGGGCAGGCTTGTCAAGATCTTCTTCACCAAACTAAGATAGCCATTTCTTTATGGCCACAGGGGGGATTGTCTCATTGAAGCAGAAAAGCTTTCCACAAACTGTGGCCATAAAGTTGGAAGTGCACTACTGCCACTGTAACATCACTGTATGCTCCTCAGTGCATGCTATGAAAATTGTTTTGTAGAAAAAGCGCAGCAGCCTTTCACTAGCATGATCCCCATGTGACTGACAGAGATAGATGTGACCCTGTTCGTAGTTGCTCATGCAGTGTTTCTTTCTACATCATTGTGTGAGTGTTGGATGTCAGAACATAACACTAGCATTGAACAGGACAACTGGGTATAGTAAGAGTGGAAAACCGCTATAGCCTGGCTGTAAATGGAAAAATAGCATTTCTCAACCATTACTGTGAGTATATGAACACGTTTTTCTTGTATAAGAAATATTGCATTATGCACAGTAATGATGCTGACAAGGCTTTTAACAGCATTTTTTTTTAAATTATAGTCTGAAAGCTTTTTAGTAATAACATTTTTGCCATGAGACGATAGAAATATCAGCTGTCCCACATAGATTTTACTTTCCCCTGCTTGAATGTGGTGTAGAGGATGTGGGTATACCTTATCATGGAGCCCTTCATTTTCTTTCTGACTTCAGATGTTTATATTGATGGGCTCCTGAGGGAGCGGATTCAGCAGTAAATGACAAATACATATGCACGAAGGAAAGCCCCACACAGCAAAACTTCCATACTGCGGACCACCAGCACAACTTAGACACCCGTTTTTTTGGCACAGGATCCTGATGCTAAATGATAACAGCAGTGGAGTATCTGGTTACGTCACACTGGGCTCTTGGCCTCCTCAGCATGTTGACGCACAGAGGGTCTGGTTAGTGGCTCTCCTTACAATGTCCTCTGGCTGCCAGCTCACTGCTGGAAGATCAAACTGCCCCACCCAGCCTTTCCAAGCTCTGTCACCCATGTCAAATGTTGTTTCCATCAGTAACGTCTGTGTGCTTGAGACATTTCTGTCACCAAGTAGCAATGTATTTTCACACACAATGAAGTTAACACATTTTGTCGTTTTTGGGGGGAACATGCCAATATAATGTGAACTTTCCTCTTAATATGTGTATTTACTTTGCCCTTTGTGAAAACATGCTCTTTGTAATGAAATCACTTGCCTAAAGTAATGTGACCGCTAAAATGTGAACATAATGGGATGTTACTAAACACAAAGAGTAACCCTGAAGCCTAAGTATCCATGTAACCATGTCTTGTAACATTTAACAAAAAGATATGTAAATCAAACATCACTAAAACTGAATAAAAGCCTGCCAGTACATGTGCTTTTCCAACAATTTAGAGAAAAACATGATATAGTGTATACTAACTATATATTCATGCTGTTATCCAATGTATATGAGCATACGAGCGACGTGTATATGGCAAATATAGGCTATTATGAACAGAAAAATAATGAGTATGGATTTGTCCAAAGTTTGGTGCTGACTGCTATCCGATAATATAATATTATTAGCCATTTCTTCACGTAAATATGGGAATTCAATTATCAGTTTTCTTGCAGTATATATGGTGGCTAAAAAGAGAAGATAATTGAGGCTTTTGTTTTTACACAAAAATGCAGTAATCTAACTCAAACGTACAGTACATTTGGGAGGATATGCAGTAGTCCTCTCATTTTCTCATTTTGCTGCCCTATTGAAATTCTAACAAAAGATCGTCTTCCAACAGGAGGTCTTTCACCGTCTATATCTCATCTACACAGTGGGATACTCCATCTCTCTGGGATCACTCATGGTGGCTGTCGTCATCTTGGGATATTTCCGGTGAGTCGATGTCACTGGATTTTTTCCAGTGACGCTTCCAAGAGAGGGATTTAGATACAGGGTCCGAAATTGAGGTATAGCAATTATGGAAGGTATCACAACAGGGAGTTTAAATGTTTAATGGTGTGATGGTACAATTTATTACCATGCCAAGGCCGGTCGCAAATATTTTATCAGTCGCAAACATACAGAGAAGCACAGAGCATATTAAATTCATGATGACTTAATGAAGCATGCAATTCAGTATTGTGTCATGGCAACAACATGAAGCACGCAAATTGTGTCAAACATTACCTTTGACTTTTACTTTGACTTTTAACAGACTTTGATATGTCTACCTTTGAGGAGGAGTCTGCCTCCAGGCTTTCAGTAATGCATGCTTCATTGTCTGACATTTAGGTTCTTTGTTATTTTCATACTGATTTCAGGTTTCGGTGATAAACAACCAAAGCTTGGATATTGATTTTGCAATTCCACCAAGCTTACAAAGATTATAGTTCTTAAGCTGTAAGTGTACCCCCCGGCTTGAAACAAAGAAGATAAAATAAGTTTTCAAAAAACTATTGAGTAAAATACTCAATTATTATATTTAAACAGCTTTGCCTCTCCTACTGTAGCAATATAATAGATGAAAGGATTTGTCACAAACGCAGCCTTATCTGGATTCTCTTGACTTAGTGGCAACACTGCTTAAATTCCTTTTTTTGTGCAGCAGCAGTCAGATTTTGTTTTTGTTTTTCATGGCTTATTAATGTCATTATTTGCTTATTTTGTTTAGCATGGGGAGTATCAGGAATCAATGTGAAGGCGCTGTTTACCAATGTTCCTACCAGTGTGACTTACCATACAGGCAGGCAGTCAGAAGGTTTGAGGAATGCTCCCAACTGGCACCAGGAAATCTATGGACCAAATGAGTTTAATAAGTTATCCCAGGGGCCCATCTGACATTCTGGCTCCGGAGCACTCCAGCCACTTCTTCCCTTCAACATGTCGGCTTTTAGACAGAAGAGTTCATAAATGTTTTCCAGGGAGAGCAAAGGGATATTTCACATTAGCAGTTGTGTTCAGTATTTTTCACCAGGGAAATGTACGCTAGATTAGTTTTTTTTCGCAAACCACTCTGAAATCAATAGTTCTTTAAGGGTAGCTCATCAAATTTTAAGCTTGTTAATAAGGCTTTAGAGAAATACACAGTTAATAATGGATAGCAGTGGGCTAAATTCAGTATCCAGTATTTTTTTTATGATTTTTCTTGAGAATAGTTCAAGTTCAAGTGCTTTTGGTATTTATTAAAATGCCAATGAATATTCAGTATTATCATGAACTTTCTTTGCTTGCGTTTGTAAATACATAACCTTTAGGGCCATTGATCCAGCAACCTGATGCTAATACTTGTGCCTGACCTCATAGGCCCACTCCGCAGATGCACAGACAGGATGTTTTGTAAGAATCTTTGACAGATAAACTTGTGCTTGTCTGGAAAGAAATTTGCATGCTTTTCTCGACACATGCTTGCAATTTTGTTTTTACAGCTCGCTTTGAGCCGAGCAATTCAATATTTGTGTGTTTGAAGCCCCTAAATCTCAAGAATGTGTTATAGTCAGCGTGGAATTCAGCTGGCTCTAATTAGGATGAGTATTGTTCGTCTGTGTGAAAATACTTACACACACTTACGCGAAGGTGTGCCTGCCCACACATACTCACACACACAAAACACACAGACACACAATTTTCAATGACCTTGCCACTCTGTTTTTGTTTTCTCTGTAGACGATTACACTGCACAAGGAACTACATCCACATGCATCTATTTGTGTCCTACATGCTAAGAGCTATAAGTATTTTTGTGAAAGATGTTGTGCTCTACTCTGGATCAGCCTTAGAGAACATGGAAAGAGTCACAGTGGAAGACCTCAAGTCCATCACTGAGGCTCCGCCAGCCAACAAAACACAGTTTGTGAGTACACCAACACATCTAAAACACACATACAGGTGTGATCAACATGAAAATATACAAAGAGAAGGAAAAACACTCAATGAACTTCTTTTCAAAAAGAATTTTCAATTTAAATGCAATATTAAGCAAGACAAACAGCATGTATGTATTGTGATTTCCTATTGTGATAAAATCACAATAGGAATCATCCTTGTTTGATTACATTAAATGCGCAGATAATTTGACTTGTAGTGTAGTTGGGCGTTTGACGTTTTGTTTCCAAACAGGAAGTGGTATTTTGTAAAGTCTCACCTGCTTTTCCAGTGCTGGAGCAAATAAACTGTACTGTCTGTCACCATGCCAAGCTTTTACTAGGCCAGTACTTGGCTTTCCCTTTCAGAGTCAAGTTTAAAAAATGGGTGAAGACTGGGTCCTTTTCATGCATGCTTTAACATGCAAACAAACAATTTGTGCAATATATTTAGTGGACACTTTTATCCTCTGGCTCTCCAAATTGGGTTATATTGGATTAAAACTGCTTTGTTAAAGTAGGTGACATATATGCCACCACGACGGTACACAGATGTTTGTGCTTTTGCATTCTGTAGACTGTAGTGCATGTATCAAATAAGACGTGGTGCACTAATGAAAATGGGCACATTATCAAGCCTGTATTCTAAATGTACTGTAAATATATCAATAAAAATGTAAAGTTGTCTAAAGCTAGATGAAAATTACCTCACATAACCAGGTTATTTCACAAAAGTGTGGACAGTGTTTGGGTTTTCATCATTCCCTTTACATTTGCACATTTCATTTCATTTGCTGACTGACTGCATATCCATGATAATTTGATCAACCTGTCTGCTTCCTACACACCTATCTTTTATGTCTATTGCAGCTGGTCTGTTCTCAGCAGTTACACAGCACATGGTTTGCAACAAAGCTTCACTGGCAATACCTCAATAATCAGTAGATTTATACGTGTTTAAAAATACAGAATGTTCATAGAAACAAAAATATTCAAATCACAGACCTGTGTCTCTATTATAGGCGAAAAAGTGCTGCCACGTGACAAAACCCCTGCTGAAGCCCATCAGTGCTTGTTAGAATACAAACTGATGAGAAAAGATAGAGATGACAATTACAAGACTGGTAATCAGTACGGAGAGAAAGGAGCACTGAGAGGAACTGGCTTCTAATAATCATTGCATGACAATACAGTGTGGAAGTTGTCTTTAACTGGAGCAGAATCGATAGCTGACTGAATCATTATGGGCTCCTGGGACTTGTCAAACCAATAGCACACAAAAATACTAAGTGAATTATTATTAAACTCTGTTCAAAAATAATCTATAATGAAGGAATGTTACTTTTAATATCATACAGTAAAAGCGCAGTTCTTGGTTACTCATTTTGAACCTGGATGTTTATTAACAGATTAATTCATTTATTTAGTTTTCGATTTAATTCAGTTTATAACTTTTGTGATGTGTCTCCCGATTTTTACTGCTCTCCAATACAAGCCAGCAAGGCCCAGGGGAAATACACATGGTCCCAAAAGCAATTAAAACACACACAAAGCTGCGACTTGCTGCTGTGACACCTATGGTTTTCCAATAATCTCTGCCCTGATCTCTGAGTTCACTGTATATTGTGGTGGCTATATTTATTGTTTTAACAATCATTACATAGTTAGCATATAGACGGTTCCATCCATGTCAACATTCACTTTTTATGTTACACTGTGATAAGTCACATCATTTCTGAACTGCAAATGATTAATTAAAAACATTCAATTACTTTCAAGTTCACTTGTTTAACAATCAAAGTGATAACACTTTCAAACAATAAGCTCAGAGTAAAGCGTGGGCTTCCAGTTAATTGTAGGTAATAAAGAATCAAAACACTGTCTCAGAGAAAAATAACAGGCTGTGAACAACACAGGCACAAATGTCATTTAAAATGTGTGAATTTATAGTATACTGTAGGCTGATTCTCACACACGGTTTAGGATTGGACTGTCAGGAGAGCCAAAGGCATTTTCTTCTATTCTAAAAGCAAATTCTTTGTCCATTCACTACACTGCATGGCCTCGCTTCATATCTGCTCTAGATGCACTTGAATATAATACAAATAAAAGGCAAACATAACCTTAAGTTCTTTTTTTTCTCTTGCCGTAGCCTTCACATTTATTAACAGTATTTTAAAAGCAGCTCAGTATCCCTAGGGATTACATCGATATTGGATGATTCTGCAGTACACGATCCATTCAATTATTACGTACCAATAAAAGAACTGTAGCGTGGTGAATGATCATTGTGGTGAGGTCAGATTAATGGATGACGGCGTAAAGCATTCAACCTGCAAAGTTTGGTGCCCTTTTTAGAACAACAATACATGTTGGCTTTTGACTATAATTAACAATAATGATAATATTTGTATTTCCCTTGTTTTAGTTTTTGAACCTTAACCATTTCAGCTTGCAGTCTGCCACTGTGTGACTTTTTATACCGATTGGATTAAATACAGTCTGACTTAACCGCTCTGAGTAGGCAGCACGGCGGGTCTTTACCATTTCTGGGTTGGCCCCATGTCGGTATGGTTTTTGTCTCTGTTAAAGGCATAAAACTCCAATTAAAAAGCTGCGCCATGTCAAATCCCCTGCTGTAACCCATCAATGCTTGTTAGAATACAAACTGATGAGAAAAGATAGAAATGGCAATTACAAGACTGGTAATGAGTACAAAGAGAAAGTCTTACTAGTTCAGGGTCAACACCATATCGGCCTCCCGCTAGGAATGTAAGCATCTCCCATCTTTTTAATTCACAACCACTTTCCAAAACGCTTCCCTGACCTGGTTACTTGCATAAATTAGTTTAAAATAAAAAGTTACACTACTATTACTACTAATTATAAAAAGTTTCAATTTAACAGACTTTTTACATGACTTAAATTAAAAAGGAGAACAAGCAAAGAACAATTAATTTTGTATTTTAATCGAAAACAATCTTTTTTTTTCACACAATCAGATCTACACAACATATGTACATCATACAAGTCAGTAAAGATATTTCAAATCAATATGGCTTACATCAAGGCATGCAAGTCAGTACAAGTTTTGGAAATGGGGGGGACGCATGGGAATGCCTTTCTGAAATTGAAAGTCAGGGAGCGACTGCTTTCCTGCTCAGATTTCGAAAATATATTCAGTGTTTTTTTATAGAGGGAAATCATGTATAGGTATATATGCTGTTTCTAAAACGTGTTCATGAAACGAATATAATTTATTGTCCTTGAAGGTAAATTTGTTTGTCATATTACAACAGGGTCTGTGTGCCCTGAGATGGACTGGCAACCTGCCCAGGGTGTGCCCTGCCTTTCACCCAGTGTCAGCTAGGATTAGCTCCAATACACATTACTGTTGCTGCTCTTGAAACAACATTTAGTTATATTTAAATTATTCAGTTGTAATCCTGTTCTGAATGTATTCTTTTTTTAAATAATAGATTTTTTAAAGCACTTTTAGTAATGAAAAAGAACCATTACGAGTATTGATAAAGAACCTGAACTGATAAGAGCAGTGGTGTCAATAAAATCCTAATGATACCCATTCCTAAACACCCTTTCAATTTGTCAGAAAATACATTTTAATGGGAACCCACTTAATTTCCCTGGGACCCACTCAAATGACCACCTGTGGGTCACGGGGACTCAATAAATTGAAAACCTATCAACATCACTGAAGCTATCGAGGAAACTCAAAATCAACGGTGGTGGTTCACTTATTAATTTCCTCAAACATTAGTGGCGTATTTGACATATCTGGTCTAGTTAATGGAATATTAATCTTGATTATTTGACAAGTCATGGTTTATTATTGTGGTTGGAGAGGAGAGCAGAGCAGCAGAGAATAGAAGGAGAACACATTTTTGGAAGCTGAATAAGCAACGTCATCTGGTCTGTCATCAATAAGCTCTCACGATATCGAGTAAAATCACTAAGAATTTATTTTAATCACTCTTATTATCGTATCACACCCGCCATATTTACTCTATTAGTTTATACTGTTAGCATGGTAACATTCCCTTATTATTTTGTAATGAATTGGGCAAAATTTAATTTTTACCTGATGATGGAGCTAGAGGAAAAATCTGAGGATCGACAAAGTAATTCAAATGTGTCCTCCTTGGACCTTGAACATCTGTAGCAAATGCAGTACATTCAATAGCTGTTTAGACTATTTAAACTAAAAATGTGAAAATGTTTCACATGCTGTTCATGTTGTGAAAAAGTCAGCGGAGGTGGCCATGTATGTCTGAACAACATTTATGGCAATCCATCAAATAGCTGTTGAGATATTTCAGTGTGGACCAAAGTGGTGGACGACAGCCACCCTCAGAAACTTTGGCATTTAACCTTATCTGGGGTTTTGCAGACTGTTCACATTCTTTTAAAATTAATTAAAAAAAGCATTACTGACCTTTAGTAGGGCAAGGCAACACCTTTTAACATCAAGGCAATTCAAAATGCATTTTAGCACATAAAAGGCATTAAGACAAGATTTAAAAGAAACACAGGATGATGAATGAATGGTGACAAATTTCATTTAGTAAAAGGCAGTGGCAAACGTTTTAAGGCTTATTTTAAAAGAAATAAGTTGAAGGAGAGCTCAAATTGCTGCTAAGTCTTGACGCTGGGAATATTAAGCAAACTTGTCCCAGATTACCATGAAGAGGGTTCATCATGTAGCAGCATGTCAAAGATGTATTTTGTCCCTAAACCATCCAGTGCCTTTTAAATCAGTAGCATTTTCAAAAAAATTCGTTGACACTCATGAAGCCAGTGCAAAGATCTGAAACCTGGACCTGACGTGACCCACTTTCTTGGTCTAGCAGCAGGATTTTGAATCAGCTGCAGCTGTCTGAGTGAATGGACTGGGTTTTATTTCAGGTTACATCAGGGAGTATGCATTCAGTAATCTGCACAGGAATATTCCAGTACAGATTACTGAATATTATACTCCACTTTAAAACGTGGTTTTCGCTCTCAGCTATTTAAATTTGTGTTACTGCAGTGTAAATGTATGCTGTTTTAAAGGGAAGAAAAGAGAGATGAAGAAGATACAATATATTTTTTAGCAAATATTTGAAAATTGTGAGTTTTTGTCAATGTGGGAATTGATTAAATATGTTCTTCATGTCTGATATTTTTGTATAGATTGGCTGCAAGGTGGTTGTGACCTTGTTCATGTACTTTCTGGCGACCAATTACTACTGGATCCTTGTGGAGGGTCTGTATCTCCACAGCCTCATCTTTATGACCTTCTTCTCAGACAGAAAGTATCTGTGGGGATTTACTTTGATTGGATGGGGTGAGTTCTGCTTCATTTCCATTCTACTTGCATGCATTTGATTACTATATGATTAGTAGATGTAATACCATGCAAATTAAATCATATGTAAGGTATTTCATTTTGATGGTATTTAGTATACAAAAACTTTTAGGGGGAAAATGAGTGGCGCTGTCAAATGCATTGCTGATATTGTATTGATACGTTGGTGAGGACAATGGAAAATGACTCATGTCAGTGTAAATGAATATGGGCTTTACAGTTCCTGCATTGTACACACTGTGCGTATAAGTCACATAAGCACAGCGCATACAATGTGGATGCTGTGCTACCCAGGTTCTACCCATATGAACATATTATGGACTTTGTATAGAATAATTTAGAATCTTTTCGCATAGTGATGGCCATTTTATCACAACAGTTTTAATATTTTTTCTTTTCTTTTTCAGGAGTACCAGCTATGTTTGTGACAGTTTGGGCAACTGTGAGAGCCACATTTGCAGACACAGAGTACGTGATCTGCATAAATAATATTTACATTATTCTTGTTAGCTTTAATACAGAAATAAAAAAGTCATGAGATTCAACAGTATATGCATAGTGTATACATAGCAGCAGTTCACACAAATTTACGTTTCAATGCCTTAAGTTGTAACAACAAGCCTACAGATATCAGCGTTCTTCACAATTCATGCTCGCCAAACATGCCATGACTTTCTGTAGTAAAGATTGAGAACAAGTTTGTAAGCTAAAAAGACACCTTCCATTTCTGAATGTGCACACCTGTCAGGGGGAAAAGTGCCTCAAGAGGGGCCCTAAACCTTCCCTTACTGGTACTATCTGTAGTCTCCACATTTGTCCTGTACGATGGTCGAACATTAAGGACGCTGGAGCTGAAAGCTTTCGGCTAAGCTGGTACCCAGCTGCTGTCTAGTGGAACTAAACCACATATTTCATTTCTCAGTCAGCAAGAGAGTAGCAGAAGATTTATACTGCCCATCCAAGCCTTCATAGGCAGAAAAACAAACCAAGCACAATGATAACCACAGCTCAGGCATGTAGATTCATGCATGCATTTGGCTGAAAATTTAATCTATCTACAGTAAATGCCATTGGTTAATATCAACTGCCTCTCAATGCTTTTTGTCCACAGATCTATGAATCTTGTTCCTAAAGGGCACACAAATATATTAAATAACAAAAACAAAGACTAAATGACCTCAGTGTCCACATTGGTAGCTACAGTCCTAGTTAATGGCATGTGACAGTTTAAGCTGAGAGAACTGTCTTGGTACCAACTAAAAAAAGGCATGGATTTTATTATTTCAGCACCTTGACACAAAGGGGCTTTCAATGAAGTACTGTATCAATTCAGCAGGAATTAAGGCTGGAAATATTACATTTAATTAATTTATGAATGGTACCAAATGATACTTGTGACAGATCATACATTAAGAGCCAGGGGAGGTTGAGTAAATGTATTTTCTAAATCTGATCATTTAGTGAAATGATGACAGAGATCATTGGAAACACCACAGTTGAACACAGAGAGAGCTTGATCCTTACTTATCTCTGGCTGATCCCTGTTTTGTTGTTTATCTCCTGCAGGTGTTGGGACTTAAGTGCAGGCAATTTGAAATGGATCTATCAAGTGCCTATCCTGGCGGCTGTAGTGGTGAGTGCATGCTCTCTGCTTGCAACTTTCCCCTGCTGTGTAGGAAATAACAGTATTTCACTGCACCTGTGGCATTACAGCTGTTGGATAAGACAACTGATTATTTTTGCAGTAACACTCAGCTATACCATACACCATCATACCATACACCATCATACCATTATGTTTCTATATTCTCTTCAGGTCAATTTTATGTTATTTCTGAACATCATCAGAGTCTTGGCAACTAAACTACGAGAAACGAATGCTGGAAGGTGTGACACAAGACAACAGTACAGGTACTGAATACTAGCACAGTGCAAAATTATTATTTCTGAACTGCTCCTCATGATTCATTCATCACTGCCAGCGTGACAATACCATGAATGTATTTACTCTGATTGCATTTGCATCGAGAGAAAGTGGGGATTACAAATGGTATGTAACAACCAAAATAAGGCTGCGATTAATGATTATTATCATTACTAAAACAATCACTTAGACTTTTTATTTTTTTAAAGATTGTTTGGTCTAAAAAAATGTTAGTGTAAAAATGCCTAGCACAATTTCCAAGGTGATGTCTTCAAATTGCTTGTTTTGTCAAAATAACAGTCCAATACTCTCAGATATTCCACTCAGAGAAAAGCAGCCAATCCTCACATTTGAGAACCCGGAAACTATTTGGAGAGTATTTAGCATTTTTGCTTGATAAATGACGTAATCCTTCACTAATGTGCAGAATGTTTGACATACTACTGTGTAAATGTTACTGTTCTGGTAACTTTTACAGGAAACTGTTGAAGTCCACATTGGTGCTGATGCCACTCTTTGGTGTCCACTACATCATATTTAATGCCATGCCATACACAGAGGTGTCTGAAGTTCCCTGGCTGATCCAGATGCACTATGAAATGCTGTTCAACTCCTTCCAGGTAAAGCTGTTGTGGTAGATATGCCAGAAATGCTATTCTAACTGTGAGGGTCCCAATAAATAACAATTTTAATTTCCAGTTGAACAAATCAGATTGACCTGAGTACTTAGGGTTAACGTGTCTTAATCACTGAAAAACACAGCCAAAGTCTCAGGAAAACACTGGAAGGGATCAGTTAACTCATGTCTATTAGATGCTTATTGTTGCGATGTCTGGTGGTTAGATCTTAATTAAGATAAAAAGGAAGACATGGGGTGGCTGATGATTTAAATATCATACTAAATATCAAATTATACAGCTAAAATGTCATGTTAAGTGCACACTAAAGATAATAGCTGCACTGGAAATTCATGGATGATGCAAGTAAAATAACCCTCTATTCTTTTCCAGGGATTCTTAGTGGCAATAATATACTGCTTTTGCAATGGGGAGGTAAGAACTCAGAACGTTTTGCATTTCACTCCAAAACTCCTGCATGACATTTAAGCTCTTATATAGCTAAATTACTTCTTCTCTTCTAAGGTGCAAGCTGAGATCAAAAAGTCTTGGAGCAGGAGGACTCTGGCCCTAGACTTCAAAAGAAAAGCTCGGAGCGGCAGTAACACCTACAGCTATGGACCTATGGTATCACACACCAGTGTTACCAACGTCACTGCCAGAGGACCGCTGGCCCTCCACCTCACCACGAGGCTGGGGCCGGTGCCTGTGAACGGGCACCGGAACCTCCCCGGGTACGTGAAGAATGGCTCTGTCTCAGAGAACTCTATACCTTCATCAGGACAGGAGCTTCACATTCCTGACGAGGAGAATTCAGCTCACACGCGGCCCTGCGAGGACGAGAAACCCTCACCTGTGGTGGAGGAGGAGAGGGAGACGGTTATGTGACCTCCAGGACCGCTGTGTATAGAGATGAAAACGGGAGGAAAAAACAAGTCATGAAACAGTCTCAGGGTGGTCTGGAGGGGATGGCTGCATACTTCAACACTGCCAGTTTTATCTCCTGTGAATCGAGCCAGAACATTGCCGACTGATGAGTTTCTAAGGCAAAAAGGGTGTATCACTTTTGTGAGCTGGCCAGCCCTTTTTTAAGGAACGATGACCCTCGTTGTTGTGGCAGCTCTACTCCCACCTGCCACAGTGAATGTGTAAAAGCATGAAAACAGACTGCCGTTTCGTATTTCTTTTTCACTGCCATAACTGTTATCATGTTTTCTGTTTGCTTTTGTGCATTCATCGAATCGGGGTTAGTTATAGTAGTTACCAGGAACAGCCTTAATCACACGTGTGGGCAATTTTAACAGAAAGTATTCGGATTAAGCCAGCGTTAAGTAGACAATGCGTTGGCTCGGATTAAATAATTATTAATGCTACTATTTTGAGGCATCTGATCATGCTTTCTGGCATGGTATCTCATCTGTTCTGCATTGACTTAAATCCACTTCAGTGTAAAAGGGAAGGTACTCAGGTAATTGAAGCCCTCTGTTGTTGCACACCTAATTTTATACTTTTTTAAGTGGTGTTTTAGCATGGTGAGCATTTCTCTGAGGGTATTGCTTTGTTATATAAGGCTGTGTTAAATATTCTTTTTCAAAATGTACAGTTTTTGTTGATTAGAAAAGCCCAGTATTCATCTCTCTAATTACAACAGATTATGAAGAGTTCAAATGATTGTTTCTCACACACTCTCACACACACACATACACATACATACGCAACATGATGCCAAAGTAAGAATATTTCTGTGAAGACTCTGTCTCTCTCCTCGGGTTCAGTGTTAGTTGAGGCAAAGAAGAACTTTATTGAAATCTGACAAAAAAAAACGTATCATATGTTCTCACACAGTTTTCAAAGGAAGAGACCCTTTAAAAACACAGGGTGCAGGAAATGGTTATATTTTCCAGTGGAATGTTAATTAAACGAGGAATCCAAGAAAATCTCAAGTTCTGCTGGAATTCCAAGGGTGACATTTGTGGTGGTTATGAAGTTCAACTCAAAAATGAATAACACAGTAATCTTTACAGACAGTCTGGTGGTATGCTGCTTTTTGATGTATATATACAAGTCACAATGTTTACAAAGAACAGAAATACATTCTAATTGTGAGCTAATAGTGTTCATGCGTATGTTATAAAGCTATGTTTCAATGTATTTTTTTTTCCACGTGTGTGTTTACGTAATGTTTGCAATATTTGATTATGTATATAGTCCAAAAGAAAAACAGTGAATATATTTACAGGCGACAGAGGGCATTCAAACTAGCATTTAATGAAGCATTCCACAAAAAATTTTAAACTGTAACTTGTAATTTACAGCACTTAACTTGCGTGGTTTGCAGGTTGGGTCATTATTACATTATTATACCAAAGAGAAAAGGTTGATGATATGTTGCCAGAGAAAAGGTTATTTTGCAGCATTTCTTTGGATTTTCATCCACCATCTGGTTTACAGTGACCAAAAAGTCTTAAAGTTGCAGTAAAACTCACTCTCCAAAAAAGTATTTGCTGCTGGTTGTTGGGAAAAATGTCAAGACAAAAATGTTGAAACAGAGCACACACATGGATTGACGTTTCTTTATAGAGACTCAGTTTCATGTAAACAGCAGTGAGGCAAATGAGAAAACCATTCACAACACTCAGTAGCTTAGTAACAATAAGCAGAGACCATAAATATTAGTGGCAGTTTTGTTGCTCTTAATCCTCCACTTGACTTAGTCTCAGCTTCGTCTCAAATGCTAAAGTCGCTATTTGGTTTGGACTAAAATGTCTGCTTGATTTAGATCATATTCAGCAAAATGGATTTTTACCTCACAATAATTTCAGCTAATATGTGGCCAATGCTAATATTTGCTTTTAAACACAGTCTCACATTTTTTATTTTGATCATACAATATTGACCACCATTCGATGGCAAGCTCACCTGTCCCTCTTGTTATTGTGTTTATTCTTGTATTTATCTTTTTGGTGACTTCACACTGACTGGAATTATGCTCCCAATTCACTGATTCCCAGTTTTGCTCCCGCTGATGCTACATCCATTAAGGCGTGTGCTTTGGCTCAGTTTTGAAAGTCTGCCAACAAGTCCATTCAGCAAATTTATTCTGCATCGAAAGGAGTAGATGACACTAAATTTAGTCCATACTTGCTTTAGATTAATATGAATAAATCAGACAACTTTGCAAACCGTTTTCACTGGTTTCCCATTATGCATGTTTCTTATTGTCAACAAATCCCATGAAAAAAACAAAACCAATTAAGTAAATTTTAGGTATTGTCTGAAATAGCGTATTCCTCTGTGCCATATTGTTGTCCAAAGCTTTTAAAAGCACAACATGAAGGTACACTTTTGCACTGGGTGACATTTTCCTTTATTACAATGAAGGTGAGCGCTGTAGTTTATTTTGAGTCTATATACAAACACCGTCCTTGGCGCGTAAACACCAAATGTAATAAGCTAAAAAAAGTCGCCAACAAATTCACCATTAACACATGTTTGCTAATAGCTACAGTGCCCTGCTGTTTTTGGAAATCATGTAACCTTTTTAAAACAATTAAGTATGTAACCCATTTTTAAAGATTTGGAATTAAAATGGGTTTTTGGATAAGAGTTTTTGGATAAGAGCCAAAGACATGATAGGGAAGCACTGAAAGACGGAGTTACACGTTGACGGGTTTGATCTTTTCATGGCTTTTCTTAGCAGTAAGAAAAATACAGAATGACTCCAACCTTGCAGTTATTTTAGAAATGTCCACATTAATTTCAGACATCCATTCAGACACTTGTGCATTTTGAACAATTAGCAGTGGAATTCTGAGAAGTGCATTTTGGCTCAGAATGGACTCAAATTGGACTCAACATTTCCATGGGGATCGGTCGTGATTGCGTCTTGAGGTTGTGTGGATTGACTACAACACTAATTACGTTGCAAGCCACAGTGATGATAGAAGGAAAAGACTGAGGTTGGGGGAAACCTTTGTCACTTGATAATACAGTATCTCACTTAATAATTGTTCATATTTAACTGACTTCTTTTAGCTGGTATTTATTGCATTTCTCACCATTCTCTGTAAATGTATGAATTTGTATCCCTTTAAGGAGTACAGTTGTAGTATGTACATTTATGTTGTTGATGAGGTGGTTGTGCTTCAAATTCAACTTGGCTTTCCACTTATTAACATGTTACTAAGACAGTTTTTCATTTAAAAGGCGGCTGGTATGAGACCATGAAAATATTTTTTTAAACACTTGGAAAATTATATTTGAGCACTTTAATACCCTATAATACAGTATTTCATTCTGATTGTATCTTGTAAAATGATTGTGTTTTGGAATCAAGTGTACAATAAGGCCAATAATCATCGAGCTGTTGTATTTCACTGTTTTCAAATACCTCTCATGGAAGTATAAAATGTCTTTCATTGTCTTTTATTTATCTTGTACCGAAATGTACTCAGTGGAGTTGACATTGGTCTTCATTCTTTAGATGCAGTATGTGGGCAGTGTTTGCACACATCTCACCTTCTTATCATTCTATAGTGATGTACTGTAGGCATGTTGTAAATATCAGTGTAAACTTGGAATAAAATAGGAAGATGTTTTCTGGTATCTAATGTTCATCAGTGAATTGTGAATTAGACAATAAATGATTATAATTTTACTGTACTCTGATATTCTTGCAACTTTCATGATTTTGAAGTAGACAAATGATGCATTTTCTTATATATAAACCTTTTGTTTATTTTAAATATACTATAATACAAATTTCATTTTAGAAAACAAAAGCACACAAAATGCTTGCAGTGAAAAATATTAAATGATCTTTTTCTGTGTTTGTCCATGAAAGGCAGAGTTCACTTTTGAGCTTTCTTGGATCCTCCTTTAGCCCCTCCTTTGCCTCCTTTTTCCCCTCTGTCTCCCTTCTCTCCAGATTTCTTCCCTTTCCCCTCACCAGCTTCTTTCTTGGTTGCTTCCCTTTCACCCTTCTTCTTTGTTGATGCATCCTTTTCATCTCCTTTCCCTTCTTTGGCACCCTTACCCTCTTTCTTGCCCTCCTTGGTCTTCTTTTCTTTTTTATCGGCATCCACTTTCCCTGAGACTGTTGTCACTTCCTCCTTTTCTTCTGCTTTAGCAGCTGCAGGAAACCAAGAAAAAAAGGTTAAAGGCTTCCTAGCAGCATTAGGTATCATCACTGGCCTGCCTGTAACCAGGGGCATAGGTATAGACAGTGCAGACTAGCTCCATATGCAGTGAGGATTGCTGGGTAATATGTGTATGGCTGCCCAATCTTAAGTTTCTATTTGATCATGTGACAAGACTCCAGACATCTGGTGAAACGCAAACTCTGACAAGTACTAGCAGAGCACACGTGCAAGCTAACAGTCATGCTATTCAAACATAAAAGTAGTTTTAAAAAGAGACAGGAGAGAAAAGAACAGAAGGAGAGGGGCGCAAAGCTCCCAAATAAGATTGTTTTGGATTTTGTCAAAGATTTCGCTCAATGCAACCTCATCGGATTCATTCAAATAGGCCATTCAAATAGGTATGGTAACTTTACAAGTGCTTTTTCAGTGGAATTGGTGTGGCTGTGGTGCCCCTGCTTAAAAGGTGGTTATCATTTCGGGGGACAGATCGCCACTGAGCACCTGTTTGTGTGGATGTGCTTGTGGGTATTAAACTATGTGTGCGCCTTAGCTGGCCTGTTTTCAGGACATGGTGTTTTTTTATGAGTAGGCCACCTTTCTTTCTTATTTATCATAATCTCTTGCATCTCTGTCAAAGAGGAATGTGGTTGCCGTGATTCAGGAGGTTATTGTACTGAAATTGCCCGAAAAAGTCATCTCAGCACAGTGGACACCTCACCTGCACTTAGCTGTTTGTAGTGACATTACAGGATTTTGATAATTATATCACTGGTCATGCTCCTTATAACTTTCTATAACTTTCTCTTTGACTTCTGTAATTTGCAAATACAAAAGTCTAGGTGACACAGTCCGACTCTAAAATCCATCACATGACGGTACTTTAGACAGCTGCGTCCAGGCGCACGCAGCACAGCCACATCAGCAGCGTGGGTGGAGAGAGACACACACAAAGTGAACTGTTGAATTTAATATGTTAATATGGAAAGAAATCGATTTAAGGAGCTTTAAATTAAGTAGGTTAGGTATTTACTGCATCTAATCTTTTCAGTTGTTAAACCACAACGAGGAAGGCACACAAATTTGCCAATATAGGGTTCCCCTCTAGACACGAACACTGTGTGTGTGTGTGTGTGTGTGTGTGTGTGTGTGTGCGTGTGTGCGTGCGCGTGTGCTTCGTAACCGCGTAGCCCAAGGGCCCATCTTAACAGCCTGCACTGGGGCCCATTGTTATTACCTTATGCTACTGCCTGTGACATTAATTGGAAGGGAGAATTTAATCCAAACAGAATGCCAGGCTAAGTAGGTTGCATGTAATGAAGGCACATCTGTCAAGTGCTTTTTGTATGAGAAGTGAAGAGCAAAAAGTAGTCAGCTTTGTGTGCGTTTACAGAGACACTGTTTTTCTCATAATTATTCAGGAGGTGACACCCTGAGGATGTACATGGCTAACAGAGGTAGTGAGGGTGAATATCTTGTTAGTTACTGGGTTAAGGTTGGGGAAAGGTACGTGTAAAAAGCAAATAGAATTTCATGAATATTTAAAATGGAATAACTTGTATGTAGTTAAAGGAATAGTTTGAAATTTTCAGAAAAAACATTTACTCACTTTTGTTGAGCATTAGATGAGAAGATCGTTACCACTCTGATGTCTGCACTGTAACTTCAGAGCTAACGCTAGCGGCAGGTTAGCTTAGCATGAAGACTGGAAACAGGAAGACACCTAACTTTGCTCTGTCCAACAGTAACAAAACCAGCACCTCTAAAGATCATGTTACATGTCATTTTTTTAATTCCGGACATGACTTCAGGAAGTTATTGCTCGCAGCCATGATAAAGTGCAGCACATACCCCCTGTAAAACAGCAAGTTGATGTTTTTCCACTTTGGTTTTTGTACAAGCCACAACATGTTAATTAGAGAGCTTTTAGATGCTGGTAGGTGGATTTTGTTGCCTCCTGACTGAGAAAGGCTAGCTGTTGTTTCCAGTCTTTAAGCTAAGCTAACTGTCTGCCTGCTGTCTATGAAGATTCTCAGTCATCCAGGTCATAGTTATCCAACGAAGGTTAAAATGAAGGGCAACTGGACTTGGTTGAAGCTACTGGAAGACGTTTCGTCCCTCATCCAAAGGACTTCTTCAGTTCTGACTGACTGGCAGGGAAACTCAGCTATTTAACCTCAGTGGGGTCGTTATCTCGGGTCATCGATACCGCTGGTTCGTTAGTGTTCCTTGTTGCTGTGACGACAGTCGTTACAGTCGTTGAGACTACCTGTGGCCAAGACTGAACGACCATCGTTGGTATCTTCACCTGAGGCCAATAGGTTACGTTTGTTGAGTTTCCTGGGAAGTGATGAAAGGACAGCATTGTAAGTGGGGGATAAGTGGTGGCGTAGACCCCCTCCCCTAAGAGGCTTGAAAGAGGTGTCAAGGAAGCCATCTACACCAGGGTTGAGAAACCGTCATTGAACAGGGAGGAAGTCCTTTGGATAAGGGACGAAACGTCTTCCAGTAGCTTCAACCAAGTCCAGTTGCCCTTCATTTTAACCTTCGTTGGATGTCTGCCTGCTGTAGCTACATGTTCAACAAACCACATGTATGAGAGTGGTATCCTTTTATACATGTAATTAGGCCTCATTTATTTTGTATTTTGCAAATTACACCTGGCTGTAATATAGATCAAAACGAAACGAGCAAATATTGTGTAAAAGCTGTGAAAATTAAGGAAAGACTCCGATTGGGGCCAAACAGAGCTTCATTGCTCTTTGTCTTTTTCCCTCTCTTTTTTTTTTGCATGTTTTCCCAAAAGGAAAGCAAACATTTTCCCTGTGCTCTACAAATGCTGCAGAGACACTGGATACACAAACGAAGGCCAAGAAACAAACACACACCAAATGCCAACAGTTGCCGGAAGGGGTCAGAGGAAACCTGAAAATATTTTGGTTCTGTGTTTTACTGTTTTGGATGAATCCAGCTGACTTAAAATAATCAACCAACCATCACAATGTCTGTGAATAGATTTCTTTGTGTTTTGACTAAATTCTGAAACTGTCTTGCCTGGATTTCTCCTCCACTCATAAGCTCTTTTCTTTTGCCTCTTTTTCTTCTTGTTTCTTTATATAACAGTCTGATTTTGACAAAACTTGGGAGAGATGATGCATCAGTGGGTTAAAGTCTGGGTCAGTGATGGCTAAATGAGCTGTTATTAAATGTCAAACATTTAAACCCAGATGTGTTCCAAATCTGGTCAAACTGAGACTGCTGGTGCCTATTTGCCCATGTATCATGTTGTTTATATACTGTGTATGATAATGGAATAATTAAAGGCTAACATTGCCTTCTACAAAAAGCCTTGACCCTCACACCATCACCAAATGTCAGAAGTCCTGCTCAGATACAACTGGTACAGTCTGACTGGGGCAATATAAATGTCAAAACTGTAAATGTAATCCCAGAAGTGATGTTTCCGCTGTCTTACTGATACATAAAATAATGCCAGTTCAATTCAAATAAGTTTGCATTTTTCATGCAGGGAGTGTGACTTGTAACAGGGCCAAATTCCTTTTCACAAGTCCGTCACTCATCAGTCGGCGTGCTGTGAACCTCAAATGACCTTTTTCCCGCTGCCCATTCAGAGCTCTGGGAGACAGATGTGTGAGAAATGTGTTTATGTTGTTACAACAAGAGCTGCAACTGTTTGGTGACACCGAAAAAGTATTCATCTTCAGCTACTTGCATACTATGCACTTCGTACTATAGAAGCAGCTGCTCTGTTGAGAGCTGATGACAAATAAGTGAAGATGGCAAATAGGAGTTAATTTAACAATTTCTGTCTTTTCAGTGTCTTTTTTTCAATGTTTGTGTGAGTGCTTGTGAAGGAGGCGGATAGAGAGGGACGATAGAGAGACTAAGGCTTTGTTCATTCCTGTGTGTGTGTTTATAACTTATATTGACTGTGAAACCGGAAAGGCTCACTGATTTATTTTCTCGTATTTTGTACCAGATGCTTTTAACAGCCTGGTAAGTATGTGTAAATGGAGGTGCAGAGAAATTCTTAATGGAGAATCTTGTCACTTCTATCACATGAAACAGACCTAGGTTAGTAGTCTCGGTTGATGTAAAGCACTTTGTTGGTTGCTGTAAAGTGCTATATAAATAAATGTTGATTGATTGATTGATATAAGTATAAGCGGCCCATCAGAAAAACAGCCATTTAGATTTAGGTTAGCTTATTAGGACAGATTGCGACCCATATTTACAGTCTCGTTAGGCCACGACCTCTAGTGGCAGAAGCAGTCAGGTAACGTATAAAAAACGAGAAAGTCCATGTAAGGGGGTGGATGCAAGTGTCAAGTAAGCAAAGGACTCAGGAGACTCACGATCGAGTAAAGTCGCAGTAGAAATGTGTGAAGTTAAATATTGTTTTGTAGGTGACTTATTTAATGTACTTATTTTAACCTAACCCACAATATTTTCTTAAACCTAACCAAGTAGTTTTGTTGCCCAAAACCAACCAAACTACCACCATTTCACAATGTTTACCACATGTTAGGTCTTTGGTCACATGATGTGCATAATGTATGGAGGGTTCTATAAGCTTGTCTCTGGACTGGTATTTGCCAATGATCATACAAGTCATTTGTAGGGAATGTTCATATATGTTGTTGTACTTGGACATATTTGTTGTTTTTGTCATATGTGTCATCTTAAATGACCTTTTGGGACATTTGACAATCAACCTATTTTGTCATTTGGGTATGAGGACGTGTTGGTATAAGCTCACTTTCATTGTCACAACATCTTAACTTTTCCCTAAGCTTTTACTTTTACACAACACATCTTTTTTTTTTTTTTTATCGCTGAATGCACCAGAGGATATTTTTCTACACATGCATAAACAGATTTGATAAGCTTCTGTTATTCACGAGCACATCCAAAAGATAAGAGTGGGCATTTCTTGCTCCTCATTTGGGAGAGTTAATTAACTGCTAAGTTATATTCGTTGTTTTTACTGACTGCTCTGGGAAACATTTTGCAAGTGTACTGTTGTTTTGCATAATCGAGCCCTTATATAAAAAAGAAACTCACAAAAGGCTTGATTATGAATTTCATTTTGTATTACGATTTTTTTGCTTAACATTCAACCACACTACATTCCCTCTGTACTCTCTGTATGTGGTCATTTGGTTTGTCTGATACGCTTGCAAATATCATCTCAGTGTCCCCTAAGTATGTCAGAATTACTGCAGCAAAGCAGCAATTTGCATATTTGCTTGTACAATTATGTTGCCCTCCTCTTTAGTTAATCCAGAAGCAAGCATTACAGTATGGTTTGTTTGGAGTTTATGGTTGAGAGCAGCTGAATATGTGTTAATCGTGACTCTTTATAATGGCCGCAGTCAGTGTACCTCCCCTTCAGCCCCTCTCCCAGCCACACAGTTGATTAGTTATATAGTCACAGAGGAGGATTTACTTCAGTGCATATTATATCAACTCTCTGTGATGACACTAGACATGAAGAGATATGGATGCTCTCGCCACAGTAGGTTTACAATGTGATCTTATTTCATACAGTCAAGAAAAATGTATTGACAGATCCATGTTTTTTCTCCCATAATTAATTACACAATGAGCAATTAATGGATTTGTGAACATAAATGCAAACTATATCATCAAGAAGAACAGAACGAGACAGATGTCAGTCCCTATTTGTCACATTTCTTAACCTGAAAAAGGCACAGCAAAGCAGCTAAACACACATGGCAACACACCAAATTCCTAAGAGAAAGAGATGTGTAAAAACAGGAACATGTAATCACATATGAGACCATTGTTGTTGACATCAATGATCATATTTAATTTATACTGGCAGGAGGGAATGTTTTGCTTTATTCAAGGCTAATATCAGGAAAGCCAACAGACAGGTAGGGAAACAGACAAACACAGAGAACAAACAGGCATTTTGCATGTATAACCATTTCCAATGCTTGTAGTAATAGCAATTTTCTGCCTCATAATTTCCTCAAAGTTATCATAGTCATATGCTTGTGACGTTTTCATGCAAATATGCATGAAGCAAAATATGTACATCTGTATTAAAACACCTAGGCCTGAAGAAAGAAGAGAGCCTCACAAAATACAAAAGTATAAACTACAAAAGTCCAGCTGCCCTAAAGAAATCGTATTTGCAAAATCCAGCACAGTTTGTATTTCACAGCCACAGTAAAAGTTTCTGCTGTACCCAGTTGCTGCACTACAACTCCACTTCCAAGCAAAATTTGGAAAATTCAAATTGTTCTTTTCTGGCTATGCATTTTTATTTGTTTGAATTTCTCCAAAATTCCACTCGCAGCAGTAGCATTTATGGAAGACCAGATGGACTGACTGCAGGATGGGCATTAGAAGCATGAGTAGGTCTTTTCGAGTGTCTGCCAATGTATAAAGTATGTTTTATAAAGTCGCTTAGCCAACAGGAGTGTCTGAAAGAAGATAAGAGCATAAGAAAAGGAAGAAAAAATCACCCCGTCTCTGACAAAGTGAGGGAGCTGTGGTGCTCCTCGCTCAGCCTAACTACTGAGAGCTGGCTGTTGTTAGCACTTTGAGTTTGGACCTGCTCAGACACTGTCTGTACTGCAGACACTTCTGGGGTAGCTGGAAGAAAAGCAGGAAGGAAGAGAAGGGAAGAGAAATGGAGGAAGAGAAAAGAACAGAAAATTTAGTACAAAACAGAGCAGAAGAATTGAAACAAGTGCAGTAAGGTTTGTGAGGTAAAAAAGACACAGATTTAAGGAATTACAGCTGCCCTAGAAATGATGTTATGCAAGAAATACAACTGTCCTTTAGCCTCAATCATAAAGTGGCACTAGAGTCTTATACGACCCTGTTTGGACTATTTCTCCTATTTTTCAGATCTCTTGGGAATTCTTTGTATAAAGCAATCACAGATTGGTGCACGAGCGAAGCGTGCATAATGTACTGTGCAGTTTATTCATGTCACAGGACTTCATTGTATGAAGGTTCAAACAGTTTTCAAACATTTATCTCCCATTTGGAGCTGGTGGCTCCCATTGGAGCAATTGAAGTTGCCCAGTGCAGCAGAGTATTAGAAGAAATGGTGGCACAAGAAAAAAAGCAGAGCCACTTCAGGAAAGCGGCACAGTCGACATCAGACTTAAAGTACCTCAGCTTGTTATTTTTTTATTACCAATTTAATATAATCATATTAATATTGAAAAGATATTAAAGAGAGGTACTTACATCCTGGGATCTCGGTCAGCTCATTTAGAGGTGGCACTGTCTCTAATGTGTTGGCGTATTTCTTGGCAGCCTGTCTTTGCGCGTGCCGAGCCTCTATTTCCTTTTTAGTTCTTGGGATTCGACATTTGAATATACAACATAGAGTGATAACTGAGAGAGGGGAAAAACAGGGATATGATGAGTTTATATTACAATAAATGCAACATCTTATTTATATATATATATATATATACATACATACATACATACATATTTAATTTTTAAGTTACTTCTAGTGGTAATCGTGAGCAAAAACTGTCTCTGGGCTAGACAGTTTTGCCAGTTTTTGCAATGCTCACAGCGGCAGAAGAACTGACATTTACAAAGTTCTACAGCAACAACAATGTTTCCATTAGTCTGGACAATCCACATACATCAACAGTATTTATTGGAACCACTTTCCACCAAAAAAAATCATCCCAATGAAAACAGAAAGGTCTGAGGATTATCCAGAGTGACAAAGAAATTGTTTATGGAAAAGATGTTACTGTTTTTAGCCATACTAGCAGAATGACTGTAGAGATGGAATGTCGGTCTGTCTGTCTGTTGCTTAGGTGGTCAGTCTACAATGACTGGATGGACTACCGTGGCATTTGGGAATTTTGGTGATCCCTTGACTCTTCCTCCAGCGCCTCTGTGAAATTCACACATGTGGTTTTGGATTGCCATGAAATTTGGTACAGACATAAATGTCCCCCTCTGGATTAATTTTTATAATTGGTTGATCATCCAGCATCATTACCAGGTCAAAATTTTAACTTGCAAAACCTGCTAAATTAATGACATTGCTATTCTGAGCTGTACTTTATGTTTACTGCAAACTAATGTAATGCTAACATGCTAAACTAAAATTTCAAGCAGCGTGTCCCAAGTCCTGACAAATATCTATAAAACACTAAATTGTATTAGTTTTTACCACAATTAAAATAATAATTACAATATTATACTTGTTTCCAGTGCTTACATACCGTAATTTATTATGTTCTGTCCTACTCATTATTACCTAACCCAGGAGTTTTCAAGTGTGAGGCGGGCCTCCATTGGGGTGCTTCAAACTGTTTCAGGGGAGGCTCAGTGAATGGAAGTGAAACAGTATTTCATTAGTTATTGCATTAGTTATCAAAAGGAGATCACATAGAATAGCCTACATGTATGAGAGTACAGAGATACAGTTGTTGGGAACTGTTTTACCCCCATCAGACTCAGAAAGTAATAAATGCCCTTGGACAGACATTTTTTAAAAACTATTTGGTGTAGTGAGAAGATGTGTCAAACAGCAGTATAAGGCTATTTTGGCTCAAATGTTGAGTGTCTATGGGATCTAATAATATAATCATGATCCCATAAGCATCCAGGAATTGAGCGAAACTTACCAAGTAAACTTAAGATGTGGTGGGGGTACCCATTTCCCAAGCTTTGTCTGAGGGGAGGCTTGCAGTCTCAGACTTTGAAAACCCCTGACCTAACCCAATATAAAAACTTAAACAATGTACCATGTGCCTGAATTCAATACTGATTTCTCTGTATGTGTGTCAATCAATCAATGTGCTAGCTGTTACTAGCTGATATAGGCAAGCGCCGCTTGTGGCTGTTTCTTACAGAAGCTGTCTGTATGTTAAAGTAACGGTTAGCTGTCATGCCGAAGAGAAAGTCAGTTTTTTATTTTTTAATTGTCCCCTATCCTGATGAAAACACTGATGGTGCGTGCATAAGTGCCTACGTGTGTGTGCATGAATGTGTAGTACACTTCAGGGTCCCGGTTTGGGGGTTTGAAAATATGGTCACTCTAATTGGGGTTGAACCAAAAAACACAGAGATGTATATGTCAAAACCTGGGCAAACAAAACTCAATTATTTGCATGGCTAGATATTACTGGAGGCTAGTGAGAAAATATTTGTTTTCTTAATTTGAGTGAACTTATCCTTTAAACAAAGACTTGCTTTGTTTTCTGTAAGATGTGAAAAATGACTGTTGGTGTTGTATTTTCCTTGTAGTTGCTGTGTATTTTATGTTTCTGGGTTTTTTTTCTTTTGCACTGCTATAACGTGACACTGTCACTCAAAAGCTTTAACATTATTGTCCATTTGTGTGTAAAAAATCAATGAACAAAGATCATAAATAAAATAAGACTAGGCCAAAGATCCTTTTGTTGACAATTTTGTAACAAATCACAAGGTGTCTCAGGTATACCTTATCCCTACATGATTTTACTACACAATTAATTGGTTCAGATTTAGAGACAACATCTTTTGTTTCAACATTTGCCATTTTGTTTAAACCAACATTAAAACCATTAGGGTGAAAAGCAAAGTGAGAGTTTATTTTTCCTAGTTGCTACTATTACTCAGATTACTCCCTTCTGGAAACACTGTAGTGATCCCTCTCTTTCCTGACATAATATCTGAGTCATTACCACTAATCACACTGTGGATGCATAATTGCAATGCACAGACATCTTTGGCCTGCAGTTCTTTCTCAAGATAGCTGTCTATTTGAGGAACAGTTTGTGAAAGTGACAACAAAGTGATTTCATGAGATATACTGACCAACTGCTAAAGCAAACACAGCAAAGATACCGATAACCTGCCATAACCGCAGGCCCCAGAAAACAACGGTCTCTGATGTGACAGGGTCTGGCTTCTTTGGGGGATCTGTGGGTAAAAGCTGTGGGGAAAAAAGAGACAACATAGATATTTTTTTTATGTATATGCACAGCACAAAGAAACCTTCAAAAGCAGGGTTTACAACAGAGAGCAAAGCTCAAGGAGTAAACAAGATCTTAGAGTAACTAAATCTCCTAAGAATCATGTTCAGTTTTCTGTGATACTTTGTTCTTTAGTCTTGATCTTATCTTCAGTGTAGTGTGCCAGCAATTGGTTCGAGGTTTTTAACCACTCCTGATCTTTCTGACAAAAAATGATTTAATACATATTAGAGTCATACATTAACTAAAATATAATAGAATAACATCCTCTAAAGGGCACAGATTCCCTTATGCCCTCTTATCACACAAGTGTCAAACGGCCAAAATGCTCAATTTCAGTTTCCTTTGAACGCAATCTGTCCGCAGCCCTACCTTTATTTTACTTCTGAACTCTGTGAAGGTCAATCCAAGATGTCATACTTTATTGGTATTGATTCATTTACTTTATTAGATATCAAATTCTTTAGGTTTATGACATTTAACTGAACTGACTTGAAGGAAAAGTCAGTTTTTTTTCCTCAAGGCATTAGCAAAATGTTAAATAACAAAAGGCCCAAAAGAAAAGGTCTTTAGCATTTCTTATGCGGCTGCCAAGAAAACAACACCAACATAACCTGTGGGTTTTTGTGGCTCTGTCTCACCTCCGTTGGAATCTCCCCTTTCTTGACACCGATAAGGACTGAGATCTGCAAACGTGACCGGCATGATACCATGCAACTAGAGTAGGTTGGTTTCCAGACTTTTCCTGCATTTTCTTTGAACTTTCGCAATGGTCTTAGGTGTCTCAATCCTCTGCTGGACAAAGCTCAGTCGATAGTGTCCTAAACATACATTTTTCGCATTTCAAAACACCTTTCTCCAGAGCTGGGGATTGGGGAATACGTATAAAAACTGTGTGTGCCTTTGTGGCAATTCAATGGCTTGAATGACTACTTTGCCGGAGCCAACAGAGCATCAGCTCCCTGACAAAATCACTGTGAGATTTCTCGCTGTCTACTGTATATTGATCAGTTGATTGGATGATACAAGGTTGTCTAGGAAACTCTATACTTTATTCCATCAACCAACAAGCGATGGATTAGAAAGTGGATACTTATCACATTTGCTGCCTTGACTGATAATTCCATTATGTGGTAAAAAAGGAACTATGTTCTAAGAATAAGCTGAGATTGTGAGAAGAAGAAAAAACCTGTTTTGGCTGTTTGTCAGACCTGATAGGCTTCAGCAAGCTAACATGCCAAATGTGACAGTACAAGCTGTCTTCAGGGCCTCTGTAATGTTTGTTTGCTGAGGAGGACACAAGAGGGGCTGTGAACTTGAACGAGAAAGCTGCAGAGAAAATGGTTTGAATGAGTTTGCACTCTTATTTGTGCAATTCCCACGGAAGGATTAGCCTTGATGGGGATATTTAACAATGCTCTTAAATAATAAAATGTTTTGCCTCGAGTGATTATGTAATGCTAAATCCTTTCCTCTGGAGGGGAATTTCATGTGGCAAGGATATAAGCCTAAACTTTTCAGCACATTCTCAGACACATGCTGACCTCAAGTTAACTCATGGTGATCATTTTATACCCACATTAATTACATATTTTTGTTTGACGGACGGTTAGTTGATTCATTACATGTTCAATGTTATGATTGGATATTTTTCCTCAAGTGTTTTGTTCGAAGATCCTTGGAGAATAATCAAGGAAGATTAATATCATTGAACGGAAGATTAACGTCTAAAAATAGAAAAATCAGCACTGGGATACAGGTTTAGTTATCTGGGACCAATTACTAAGTAGTTACTTATAAAAGGATATCCTGTGTAAAGGAGATTCACATATTTGTGCCATGTTTACAGTATTTAGATTATATTTACTGGTGTTTTCTGTTGTTACTCTATTGTGTGTTTTACCTGAAGAAAAAATTAATCAATCACATGCGTCACGTGAACGTGAAAGTAAAACTAATGTCACCCAAGCATTCTTTGTATGACACCTGCAGAGACTTTTGATCTAGCCTTCAGTATAAACAATATAAACATTATATTTATATTTACCATAGAAGCTGTTTCTAGAAGTTTCTTGTGCTTTCTCTGACTTTCTATAACATAATAATCTTCTGCTGCAATGCAAAGTTCAGTGGACGTGGATGTTACATTTAAAAAACAGTATACATATGAATAATGACAGTCTATTATCTGTTGCCTCCTTTAAACTGTATACAGTAATGTAATCTATGGGATTACTCATAATCTATTTTGCCCCCCAGCAATTTATTGTAATGTGCAATTTATTGTAGAATACCACAGCTGATGATTCATTCTAATTTAAAGGGATGTTTTGTCAGTAATGAATGTGGTATTTTGTCCTTTCAGTCATGTACACGGTGTCCTGTATAGATATAAAGCAAATGTCCTATTTCTCAGAAGCAGAATTATTTTATCACCTTGCTTTTTAGAAAACATAATGGATTTCAGCTGCTTTTTTGTAGTCAGATTGTTGTCACATTCTCTGCAATGTAACCCTCTTCATCCCCAAAGCACAAAAACAACTTGCCATGCTAGGACTCATCATATTCATCATCCTGCACCCATTAAAACACGTGGCTGGCTGGCTGACGACAGACCATATAATGTATCAGGTTTCAACATGCTCCTCATCAAGTAAGGCAAACAACAACTCTGGCAATCAGACAAAAACTATCAGTTACATAAAGCTACCTTTTAAAAAGCAGAACACCTGCACCCTTCACAGAGAAAGCCTCAGCATATTCCTAAGAGGAACCTGTGGAGGACATGGTGATTCATCTCTTACCTCAGGATCCGGGATCTGGGAGAACACGGAGGACAAGCACTGAGACAGCAGCACTGCTCCCCAGCCCCATGGCAGGAGCTGAGGTGGACATACAGGCTGATCCCCAAACATTCTCTGCCCCTCTTTCTCCCTGCAGCCACCCTGCCCCCTCTCTCCCTCTTCCCCTGCCTCTTCTTCTTTCTCTCTGTCTGCCTGCCTGCACTGGCGCCGTATACAGGACAGGACCACAATGGCCCTGGGTGATTAATGGTTACTATGGTGCTGACGCCTTCCTCCCATCCACAGTTGCTGCTCTGCTCCTCTAAATCTTGGTCTTCTCCCACAACACTGCAGAAACCCAAAGACACACCAGCGATCACCACTGCAGGCAGCTCAAAACAGCTCTACTACAATCGAGAGAGCCAACCCTGCTGTTAGGGTACATTAATTAATTAATAGACCTGGTGTGGTTTACAGCCAGCTCGTCCTGCTGAGGACAGGAAGTTAACACAGTGTGGGGGGATGGGCAGTATAGTTAACCATGAGGTTGGCCTGCGCAGTGAAGCAAACGGCTGTGAGCGTCATCATGTTTACTGCCTTAGAACCTGGAGCGTAAAAATCCTCACAGCCTCGTCCCTTTAGTGTGGCAAAAGGGTTAGTGGTTAGTGGTGCTGTGGAATCCAACCTTTTTAATATGCACCCGCCTAAGGAAAGAGCAAAAACATCACAGTCAGTTTGCTTTGGTTGCAGTCATTTGTGATCAACTCAGAAATTAAGTTAATGTTATTTCAAGGTTTATTGTTTTTTTTTTGTGTGTGTGTGTGTGGCTGCCCTTAATCAATAGGATATTTTTCTATGACGCTTCCATCCATCTATCCATCCATCTTCAGTCGCGGGGATGACGTTTCCAGTGGTGGGAAAATAATTAGTTCAGTTTAGTAAGCCACACTACAATGGAAAAGTAAAACAGCATCTTACATTCATTTATTTAGCTGATGCTTTTATCCAAAGCGACTAACAATTGCTATATATGAGATTGCATGCCTCTGGAGCAACTAGGGGTTAAGTGTCTTGCTCAGGGACACATTGGTGGATGTGTCACAGTGGGGAATTGAACCCGTGTCTCTCATACCAAAGGCATGTGTCTTATCCTCTGCCATTAAGGCAGAATGAGGAGGAGTTGCAGTTTGTGAAGACAGCAGTATAAGTTGGCCCCTCCACCTCAGCTTAACAATACCCGGAGTGCATGCCCCCTGACCGTGGTTGCCAGAGCACAGCCTAGTGTACCACCTGCAACAACACATGCCTACATAAGGCAACGACTCTTCTGATTACCTGCGGGAAAATTAGTGATTTTCAATTACAGTGTAAGCCAGTGCAAAGCCCCAGGGGAGAAGAGGCAGAGGAGTGAGAGCTGGAGGCAGAGGCAGAGCGAGGGGAAGAGGTTGATACCTAGCAAAACACAGCAAAAAAGAAAATGCAGGCAAAGGGCAATGTCTCTGCAGACGCAGACACCACCACACATTTCTAGTGGGTCATAGTGGTGATTGTGAGGGAAAATCCTACTCATTCTGCCCTTAAACATGACTACAAAAACATAAATATACAACAACAAAAAATGCCCAATACTTTTCAGCCTGTTGAATTGTAAATCTGTATTTTAATGTTAGAGGTGGTCCAGGTTTTGTAGACAGGTCTAACTAATTTGTACAGTACTGACGGTGGCCTAAACTATAGCAATGCATAATTTATTTATTATTAAGTTATTTTATGGTTTGCTAGTGAAATTTTAATCTGTAAACCACCCAGTACAGTAGCCATCAGATACGAAAGTGCAAGCAAAAGAATGACAATATCATTTCCTTACAAAATAGAAATACCACATAAAACACCAATACCATTAAATAGTCAGTAGGGCTTTTTATAATGCCACTTGGGAGTAGAAACAAGCTGTAATGTAAAAATGTACATATTATCAATTTAGTTATTTAGTTGATATGGCGTGATTGCAAATCGGTTTGCAAACTGAGCGACTGGAAACAGGGGGAAACAGCCTGGCTCTGTTCAAAATATGTCTACCAGCCCCTCTGAAGCTTGCTGATTAAGACATTATATGCTGTTTGTTTAATGAGAGCAAAACCCATAGTGTAAAAACAACATGTGGTGTTACGGGCATACCTGCCAACAATCAAATTTTTTGGTTTCTCCCAATAAACTCCCATAATATACATGGCCCTCAAATGTTATTATGAATAATCGTCATACACAGATCCAAATTTAGGATGTTTGTCTGACATCACCCAAGTTGCCAGATCGTCTATGAAACCCAATCTACACACAATGCACACACTACAGACAGTTTCAACCCATCTGTCATCGCAACCTGGCAATACACAAACCTGATCCAAGGGGCATCAGCGCAGATGCTCTCTCTAGCTTAATGTTGTGCAGGGCGGTGTTCCACCTAAAAAATCGAGATATTATACTTACTTTACAGATAAAGGTTTCAGTTAAATGACTTTTAAGAGATATTTCAGAGAGATGCTTTTTGCGTGGATTCAAGTTTCATCCTCATGTCTCAGGCAGGTCTCAAAAGCCCTTTAATAAGAAATGCCATTAGTCAAAGTGAAATCTCATTATAGTTCCATTTGTCCAGCCTTTTCTTGGTCCTGGAAAGTTTTTATTTAACAGTGACAAAATATCTCAAATCTGTCTAAAAACCAATACTGTTTGTCAACCACTTGTCAATGATGTTCAAAAATATCTTGATAACCACAGGAATGCATGTTAAAACCTGTTAACACTGTGTTTAAAATATAGCCAAAGCTGCCATAACGGAAGCCTGACTTTAGCCTATCACTAACCCAAATTCTAGCCTGCAAGTTCATGACCCACATGGCACATACTGGGCCTTTCTCTTTCCAAATATTAAATATAAGACAACAATATCTTAAAAGCCCCATGTCCTTCTTTTAACCATTGGTGGTTCTGTGAGTTCTCTGTAAGAGTAGTACATTGCATGTATGACACTGTGTATTCTTATTTCTTATTTGTGGATATCTGCACCAAGAAGAATATTAGTACAACAAACACTTAAAATAGCATTCAAGAAACCCTATTTATTTTAATGACAATAAATATTTTAAAAATTCTATTCGATAGATGCACTCGTGCCAATACCACATATAGACTGATTCATGCATACTGAATTCTATGCTAAAATAAAAGAGTGCACTTAGTAGACCTAGGCTGGTGTTTATCAAGCTTCTCAAAGTGCCATTTTAGTCTTAAGTGCTGAGAATTCACGAAATTGACTCCTACTTTCAAACTTAAAAATAAAAGCAAGTTATCAAATTTCTTTAAGCTAAGAATCACTCTTACTCTCCCAGTTATTTAAGACAGCTTGAGAGGTCTCTCAAGTGGTTAGAAGTTGCCAATGTGGGCTTGAGATGGCACTGTTGAGACAGAGACCTGCGCAAATCTTTCAGGAGAGGAAGAACGTTTCTGAATTATATGAAAACGCGCAGAAGGGTCCAGACAGCACAGGCATAATCTTTGTCAGCCAGTTGGTTACGGAAGTCATCTCACCACTGAATTTACGCAGTAATGAGTTTTCGGCTAAACTGAAGGTGGTAATGACACTTTGTTTCTTTGCCACAAGACAAACGCAGCAATTCTGATGATTTAGGGCCATCACAGCCATCAATAAGTGGAATTGTCATGAAAACAATTATGGCACTTACAGCTTCACTCATTGTCACGTGTTTCATCGACTTCCCAACAACACCCTCTGTAATCCAACAGAACACAGTTCATGCAAATAACCAGCTTCACAAGAGTAGTAGGCGTAATTGATGGCTCTCATATAAAGATAAACTTTTTTATCTTTCATTTCCAATGTGTATAATATAATTACAGAAGCCCTAAGCGGCCATCGATTCAAATATTTAGTTTACTCCATTTTTCTGTGATAACAGGATAATATTCTTGTGATCTGGAGATAACGAATGTTGTTTTCTTGTGATAGCGGGATCATTTTCTCATGATCTCAAGATAACAAACCATAGTTGAATGCAGGGGTTGGCAGGTGCGTTTCTTCAGGATAATTTCCAAAACTTTACTGTGTCACAGGTTATCTCAGAGTGCAGGACTCATAATTCAAGGATTGATGGTTTGACTCCTGCTCTCAAGCACTTTTTTTTAATGTTTTTTATCATCCTCTTCAACAAAGTTGTTATGAATTACCCTGAATGAGAAGCATATGAATTTCCTCTGCCTGGGAATGATGGGGAAATGAAAAGTCCATAGGTTGATGAATGTGGACCAATCGCCGGGATGTGCACGGTCCAGCACGTGCTTCATTGTGAACATGTGAAACTTTCTCTTCATAAGAACTTTGTTGAAGAGGATTATGAAAAAGATTTGTTTAAAATACGTCTTCAATGAGGATCAAACACACAATCCCCGAGATAACCACTGACACTGCAAACTGCACTGAAATTATCATTAAGAAACTTTCCTGCCGACCACTGTGTTTTATTATCTCGAGATCACAAGAAAATGATCCCGTTATCACAGGAAAAAAATATTCGTTATCTCAAGATCACAACATAATTATCCCATTATCAAGGGAAAACGGAGTAAAAAAAATATTTGAATCGATGGCCTCTTATGCCTTCCGTAAATAATGTATTCTCTTGAAAATTCTTTATCATCAAATAGGAATAGGAAAAGGAATTTCACCATTCAATGTGCATTTATTTGAGAATATTCTTAAATAAGGAAATATATTGAGTGAATGGTCCTTTCCAACATCATCATCCAAAATCCTGTTTGCAGCACAGCAAAGTGTCGTGAATCAGCACTAAGACTGACACTTAAGATTTAGTCCTACACTTCACTTAAATTAGGTCTGACATCCTTGATAGCTAACTTTTAAGTGCATCTTTGAGCCAAGATTTTTTTCACTCTTAAGTCAGTTCTTAGCAGTGTTCTTATGAGTAAGTCTGAGAAGCTCGATAAATACGTAAAAGTAAAATTCTGTATCATACTTATTTTTCGATTACTGAGCTGTGTGTGTAAGTCACTGAATTACCTTAATAACTGTGACCAACTACTAGCAAGTGTTAATCAGGCTTAAACACAAACTCACTTGGGCGGAACTACCCCAGAACTAAACCCTGTCAATATTTATATATATTTTTTGATATGTGGATATAATCCATCTATCCATTGGTACATCCATTTGAATATAAATCCATGATAGACCATGATTTAGATGAAAAGACATCTCTCCTTCCTTATATGATGTTTTCATGGATGGAAAAAGATAATATCTACAAATATCTATCTGTTTATCAACTCATGATGGATAGTTGGTTGAGGGTCAGATGGATGTGTGAATATCTATCTGTTATATATAGATCCATAAACAGTTCACCTATAGTATATAGATATAATTTAATTTAATCAGATAGAATTGTTTTGAATGAACAGACTTTTCTAGCTTTCTGTTTTCTTAAATTTGAATAGAATAATATAATAGTATTGTAACTGTAACTGCATAAACTTAATAAGAAAACAATAAACAAGTCCCAACTTCTGAAATGTATTTATTTATTTAGAACATGTTGTAACACACCACACAAAATAAAACCCATTTCTACCTCCCTCTCCCCTCCCAAAAAATAAAAGGCTAAATCTCACTCTGTCCCTCCTGAGAAACGCCTGGTCTCAGGGGGTAGAGGACAAGGTGGTAGAGCCTCCACTTACGGCCTAGAAATGGGTAATATATTTAATAAATATGTCTTTTCTTTTTATTTCTTTTTCTTAAAGAATTATTGGTCTTTAGTGTCAGGAATGAGTCACATGGGAAATAAGGGCAGAAGAGGTCGTTCATTTAGGATTGTTAAAAAAAGCTTCAAAACATCTTGAAATGTCTGAGAATCTGAAAATGTTTGAATTGCATACCACCTTGACATGGTGCCATGCAGGAATCTGTACAGACACAATGATGACCCATTAAGTATTAATCAGTGGATGTGATTGTTGTATCAAAACAAAGCTTCACACATTTATATTCATGAAGCATACACAGACAGTTTTTCAGTGAGCAATAAGCAGCCTCCTGGGGTGTCATTGTGGCTCTGTTGCCACGTCATCCCCTTTTGTCTCTCCCAATTATTTCTGTCTGTCTCTGCTGTGAACTATTAGATTAAGGTAAAGCTACAAAAAGCAGCAGCCTGTGATAGTGGTGCTCACGCACACATCTTCAGAAGGCAACAGATCCCACTGGCAGTGATCATATTTGTGAGCAAAATATCAATGCCATTGTGTGTCAGCATGGATGATCAATTTTGTTCGCTAAGAGACGCACTAAGGATATCTGCACCAGTGGTGATGGATACACATGACACAGACAATGATTTAAACATCCAGCTTTGGTACATTTTCTTCTCACTTTAGCTAATGTATGTCTGTCTAAATGTGTCTGACATTGCAACCTTTCACAAATGCCTTTAGATCCCTTTCAACAATGAAACCTTACAAAATCTGATGTCATTGTACTTTGTCCCCCAGCTTACAGAATTTAAATCATGGCAAGCTTTTGACCTGAACTTGTATTTTGAACTCCACGTAAAGAAGACGCAGATCCTCTGGTAGAGCACAACTAGCCATTCCTAGGTCTAAGCTAAAAACTAAAGGAGACAGGGCCTTTGCTGTCAGGGCCATATTGAATTGCTTATGTTTTATACACTGATTGTTGTAAATCACTGTTGATGCCAATGTTTATCTTTTTAATTTTGACTTTTGGATGTTTTTATATTGATTATTGTAAACCACTGTGTGAGGCCTATTCTAATTTTTAGCAAATTTTCTCATAAAGTACTTTGTTACCTGTATTTAAAAGTGCTATACAAATGAACCTATTATTATTTATTATTAATATTATGTACACACTGTGTGGACACACTGTATTTCTTTCTTCAGTGACAGTGGTAGTTTTTGAGGTACGTTAAAATGCAAAAATGTCAGTGGACTATATACTAGAACGATATTCATTTGAAACAAAGCAGCTTTGACAGGCAGCACTGCCTTCAGATGTGAGGTGGAGTGATTCCGGATGAAATTGATTATTTTCGAGTTTGACGGGGCATGGAGATCAATTCAATTTAGAGTGCGAACGTCGCTCTACGGGGTAGGTCAGATAAGAACAAGCAACAAGTCAAGAGTGATGGCTAGGTTACTACAGCAATTGCAGGAGAATAGCAGCATTTTCTTAGTAGAGCATGCACTATGAGGAGCTCAGTTTGTTTTTCTAAAAGTAATGCATTTTTATTTCTGCTTATCTAGTTTAAAAGACAATACTGTCTCTACAAGAATATGACTATTGCATCATTATTTCATTTATGATATTTATTTAATCCATCACTTCCAGAAGCATTATGATTAGTTTTCTTTACAGTCTATTGATTTATTCTCAACTAGGTAAATAAAAATGTGCTGTATTGAATAGATACTGCTCAGCATACTGGTCCATTTTTTGCTTGAGATTGCATTCTTGCAGCACAATCAGAAAAAGTAGTTGATATATAGTACATGACTAATCACACTGCCATCTAGTGATGTTAAATGTATTCAAACTTGCTGAAATAAACAAAATGACTAAAAAATAGCATACAGTATTGACGTGATACATCACTGCACAAAAGTACGTCTACTAGTGAAGCCAGAGTCTGAAAATCCGTAAATTTCAAAAGTTTGAAATAAAAGAGTTCAAGAGGCACAGATCAAAATCAAGACCAGACAATCTGCTGACAGAACGTGTCTCGTCAATGCATCACCATGAATTGTGGGTGACTGTAATGAACACCTTGATACCTGATTATGGATATCAATGTCCTCACCAATTTAACTCATGCTATAGACCTTGAACAACATTTCACATGCAGAAAAAGTGCTTATCACTGCTTCCCCACTGTCTTAGTAGATAACAGCGCATTACTTTATTTCTACTTACTGTAAATGAGCACATTAGGACTCCGCTATTTATTTTCTTTCCATTACATGTAAATGAGAGGCACTAAGAGATGAATGGACTCATAGAGGCACAAACCGTTTTCTGGCATGAGTAAAGTTCACAGATCCCTCATATACTGATGGCTAACTTTAACCTCTGCGTTCACAGCTCCACTATTTACTTTAGTTTCTGGATGCAGTCAATGGTCTGCAGGAAGCATTGGTCCAGAACGAGGGAATACCTCTGAGGAGAAGGATGGAGAAAGGAGTCATTCAAACCTGGAATGACAAATAGGTGAGGCTGTTTACGTATGCTGTGTTTACATAAGTTTGTGTTTGGTTTGGTGGGTTATTGGGCATTTTGGAATAAATCTACACCTTTCTGCGTAATACAGCTATATAAAACAATATTAAAATTGTTTGGTGAAGTGTAATTTATTTGAAAGTGATGACACTCTTTAATGACTGCAGTCAAGAGAAGTCATATTAATCTATGACAACATTGGTTAGTAACAGAAATTGCACAGTATAATGAGTATTCAACAGCAATAAGCTTTATTTAAAATCAAAATCAACTGTCACATGAAATAAGAGCTTTAGATTACATGTTTCGGAAAATATTGTAAATGCTCACAAACATGGACTCCATTTTTATATTAAGTTGTTATGGCAGATTAAAAAAAATAAAAAATACAACCAAACAAAAATTTACTAAATTAAACATTTTCCCTGGAATCGGATGCAGTTAGGGACCATGACAAGTATTTGCTTCATCAACACCCTTTTTGACGCACATTACTACATTTGATTCGTGTCTGTCAATGCCGCAGGGCCTGTAGTCATCCGGCTCATCTAATCATCTCATCTGTTCCTCCAATGACACCACTCATTCTAATACATTAAAGGGAGCCTCACCTTATATCCAGGAGGTATTCAATACAAGTTGTTTTTTGTTACTCTGAGCATAAAGGCTTTCTGTATCCTGTCCAAACTGATATTTTTGTCTTGTGGCACTTTCTCGCTCAGTCCAATGGGGACCTGCCAATCTCCCACAGGGTCCTGGAAGAAATAGTGCGGTATTTGAAGCAGCACACTAACTCAGCCATGGTTTTAAATTAAGCGTGATGTGGAGGGAGGGGAGAAGGAGGGGGAGCTCTGCTGAAATCCTTTTGGCTACATCGGAAGAAAATAACTCGGATGTTAGTATGAATGTAAAGGCCACTCCCACCAGGCCACGCACATCCAGACAACCTTTGGATTAAGAAGCTAAGATCTACATACATGTGACATGCTCTGGGGAGAGTATAAAGGACTACAGTGGGAGTTCGTGCAGCTTGAGTCCGCATTCATTTTCAACCACTATTCCCACACAGCTGGTTTCGAGTCAGAAGTAATTAGCAGTAAAATTTAAAAGGAATATTGAAGTTTTTGGGAACTTAACTGGGGTGTTGACTATTTGGATTGGCCTGTCTCACGTTTATGTACAACTATCTGGAGCCAAAAAACACTTTTTAAAAAGTCTAGGAGGGTCACGGCCATGAACGTAAAACAATATATTTAGAAGATTTAGATTTAGAAGAAGATTTTGTCCCTTTTTATTGATTAAACTGGATGTTTCATTAGTTTACAAATATACTTTAAAAACAGCTCTGTATACATGTAATGCACTTCAGGCTGCCAGTGGAGTAAAATACATCTATAGTGACATTTATAAAATAGCACACAGACAAAATATAAAACTATGGGGAGACATCCTATCAGCAACATTTTTGCAATCAGTAGGAACATTTGTCAGGGTTGAAAGCTCTGCAACCCAAGGTCAACTGGTTAAACCGAGGTAATCGAATGCACAAAGGAACCATCCCATCACGTCTTTGAGAGTTCAAATGGGAGAAAAACACGGAGATCCGTATGATCTTGTAAGGAGAGCCGGTTTCCTGCAGGCTGCTGTTTGTTACGTGTGACAGGAGAGGGTAGGGCTCAGCTGGACGTGAGGCTTAGCAGGGACCAGCCAGTCCCCTGGTTAGTGTCTTGTCTGGGCTGTCACAGAGCCTGCAGGAAAACATGCTTGACTTGTCTCATCACGTCACTGCAGAACTGTAGGTCATGGTGGAGAGTGCTCTTTAGCTGTGCCCTCAGCGCCTCCGTTTCCTCCAGCTAAATGACCAGCCAGGAGACAACATCCATGACAAGAGCAACATGAACATCTCTGTGTAGCCCAAACATGAGTGTTAGAATGGACACTGTCCATAGGCAGTGTGTCCATTGCCATGCATCATTATTTCTGTCATCTGGTGTAAAAATATATTTTTTCCCCAGAACCAAGCTCAAGACAACTACAGTGTTGTCAAAGTTAGAAATAAAATGTTTACAAATAACAATGGACTCATTGTACAGTTTACTCAGCGTGTCTGTGGACAGTCCCTGCTGCTCAGAGACTCCTGCCACCCTGGTACTGAGGGATGCTGCTTCTGAGGGACAGAGTCGTGATAGCCAAAAGCGAGACAGTCAAGGGAGAAATTGATGAGTCAGAGCATTAAAAAAAAAAGACTAACATAAAAATCTGCTTGACATTGTAGCATCATGCTGTCACTGAGTCTTGGCATACCAGTTTTACCCTTGCTGCTTTTATTGCTCTTACTTTGAATCTAATTTTGACCTCTCCAGCTGCTGCTCCAGGATTACTATCCGGTGGCGCTCCTCCAGGTACTTCTGTTCTGCCTCCAAAAACATCTGGTTTGTCTCTTTCTCTCTGGAAGATGATTAATGGATAGATTGACTTATTTAATAATAAAAATGTATAAACTTAAAGGGTCATTTCAGTATTACTTATTTTGCCATGTTTTTATCTCTGTGTGACTAAGTGGGACAACAGTTTTTGAAATTGGTCCAGTATTGAGCGAGCGCACTGCAATCGGCAGCAGCGAAACCGTGCTGCAACATAATCCTTGCGGGCAATTGCAACAATTATGTGACTTTAGTGTTTTAAAGGGTTAAAAACACCAAAGTCACACAAGCAAACTAACTGGCCAAGACTGGATAATGAGATAATGCAATTTCAGATTTAGTCATACAATGTGATTCTAGGAAATATAAAATTAAATTTCTTTGCATTGTTTTGACCTCAGTTGCATGTGATGAAGGCTGTAAATCTATTGGCTTCAGTGCACCCTCAGGCATGATTTTGACTAAATAAATAAAATAAACTCCAAAGCCAAGTGGAAACAACCTTGCAATCCTCAGAAAGCATTACGTGTCTATGGCCTTGAAATGGGCACATATATGGACTACAAATTAATAGAATATTATAGTGGTGTGGTATTGAAATGTTCCCTCATACCTTATTAAAAAAGGAAATAAAAATATAAACATGAAAAATAACATTTCAAAAGGTTCATAGCTCCTTTGGTAAATAATTTAATTTATTTGTACCTGCAAACAAACTCTCACATGCTGCCACCACTGGTAAGGATGCGTGCTATAAGCCTAATGCTTTTGTTCTGTTTACAAAAGCTAATATTACTGACATTTCATTAACCCTTTCATACATAATTTATTGAAAAGAAAAACATTTTTAAAGATTTATACAACCCAAAATTGTGCTATAATTAAAATATGCAATAAAGGTGTAAAATGCAATTTTAGTAGCAATATGGATAAATAATAAAAACCATTCACTGCTGATACAGTAACAACTCATTATATTGTTATCCTTGTCTAACTTCATGTTAAATCATCTCAGTTATAACATATTGCATCCAATATGTAAAAGATTACATAGTGCTAGTAAAAACTGGAAAAACCTGGAAATCAAAAAGGCAAATTTGTCTCTGTATGCAAGTATAAAGTTGCTATTTAATGTTGTAATATATACTTTTGCATTATTTATGTTCATCCATTTGTTTTATTATAATATAATACAATTCATCACACCTTCGATATACTAGCAGGTCACAGAAATCAAACTTAATGCAATCTGACTCCACTGTTGCATGATGTCTACATGTGTGGACAGTTGGTTTTTGGTGTATAAAAACATTTCACTCTAAATTTTTGTTTAAAAAAACAGACATGTAAATAATACTTACACACTTACACTTTTTTAACCTTGATTGACGCCCTTGAATTTCACAGATATGCCTGAGCCATCACTATTGGCCATTCATTGGACTGCTGAGGTCATCAAACAATGAATATTTGGAATCCAAGATAGCACTGTTACAATATTGCTATCAATCAAATGACATTGCTCTCAAGTGGCTTGGAGAACATAACCATGATATATTAACTCACAATGGAGTTCAAATACCTGTCCACAAATGTGGACACCATGCATGAAAGGGGTAAGACAATTTAATATTGGATAATTTTAGCAATAAAAAAAAAGAGCCAACAAGATACTACGTGTATTTTACTGAGTAATCTCTGACTAAATCCTCAATAAGAAAGGTAACAGAATGGAAAAGTTATTGCTTTTGAGGATGACTTATGGCCAATACTGCTGGCACACATTATTCGCTTGTTTTGTTGTGATATTTGTTTTTTTGTTCTCCAAGATAGGCATTTCACCAAACACCATGCAACAGTGACAGGAAAAAATTGAGATCAACAAAGTGGAGACAAAATTTATATTACCTTGTCTGTAGGACATTAACCAGCTCAAGGAGTCTGTCCTTCTCTGTGCAGATAATTTTATATTCACTACACTTAGTGATCAATGTGCTCAAATCAGCTGAACACTGTGGACATTTTGAAGAACTTGGACCCCTGAGAACAACAGGATACAACATTAAAACAATCGTTTTGCTGTTAATGCATTTCACAGTGGTACAGAAATTGATGAATGTATCAAGAAAGGAATAAATAGAGAAGCTTTATGTCCACTTACTTGAATTCTATATTATTTCCCACCGCAGGCAGCACCAATTTATGACCAAATTTAGAAACTGATCTGGAAAAATAGTTGATAGACGTTGATTTTAACAGAAATCCCAGCTAAAAACACTAACAAAGCAGTAAGGCAACAAACTAAATCAATAACCTGATTACAGAGAGTCCCCCATCAGCCAGAGTGAATTATTAACCCTTATTTTGCCAGACAAGATGTATTAGAAACCAGTTAGTAGATATGTGTCTTGTATTCAGACTGAATAATTAATTAAAGTAAATTAACAATATTCACACTCCAGTGATCATTTAGCATGACTACAATGAGCACACATACCCTGAAGATGTTATTCGCTTGTTAATGTCTCCCTCTTCAGGGGGAAATCCTGAACTGCAAATTGTTGTCTTGAGGCTGGACTTCGGTCTTTCCATGCCCTCTTCCTGTACACATTTCATGTGAATGACCAAGCATTATGAGAAAACTATGAACGGACAAATAACTTTTCAACTCAAATTTTGTGCTGATTGCTAAGACGTCAAATACCTTCTCCTTGCTGAGTTTAGATGTAATTCCCATGACTTTGCTTTGCTATTGTTTTGTTTACCTTGATAGAGAGCTGCTGGATTTTCTCCTGTAGTTCTTTGATCTTTGCCTCTCTCTTAGCAACTATCTGCTTAAGATTCTGGATGAGAGTGTTGTGCTCTGAAGGCTCACTGCTAAGCTTTTGTCTTGGGCTCTGCTGGATCTCCTTGCTCTGTAGGTTTTGCTGTTGGCTGAGCTGTCTCAGCATCTCCTGCATCCGGGTTTGCTGCTTCTGCCACAATTAGAAGGGGTAATTATTGTTGAGAACAATGTAGTACAGCATGGGCTTATTACAGAAGATCCTTCTTTCCACGTCTGTGGCTTATTTTAACTCATAAATCTGAAATCCCTGTTTATTTAGTTTTTGGTCTGTGTAACAAGAACCAGTCTGTATATGTTAATGACCTATTGTAAAACATTTCATGCCTTTCGTGGAGGAGTAGCTCCTAAACCACAAAATGTCAGATGGGTTATAATTGTTTAGTTGACAAAATTCCATAGTCATTTGGGCTCATGAGCTTCAGAAAAAAAACACATTTTGCACAGTGGTCAACCTGAAAACATGCCTGCATTTTTTGCTCAAAAGATGATTCACAAGAAATACAGGGTTTTCACATAATAACTGAATCAATACCTAATTAAGATATACACCATTTGTGTGTACACATAACAGAACATACACCGAGTATATAAATATAACAAGATATTTTTCTCTCATCTAATTCCTTACCAGCAGAGCATCGACAAGCTCATCGTCATGTTTGCCCTTCTTCAGGAGGGTGGAGATCTGCACCTTCAGAGTTTTCATTTCTGTGGACAGAGATTTGTTCCTGGCTTTAGAGGCTTCCAGCTTTTTCTTCACATCCTCGTGGTCTTTCAGGAGGGCCTCATGGTCCACTGAGATCCTCTGTACAGTTTTTGAAGGACGACAGGGCCTTGGCACATTAACAAATTCACATTTTAATGAATTTACAACTTATGGATACACACCTCTAACGCTTCCCTCTTCTCCTTCTCAATGGTGCGGATGTGGCCGAGGTTCCTGTTTTCAGGAGGTTTTTTTTGAAGGACCCCCATGCCCAGAAACTCTTCCTCTATACTCAGGACATTTGGTTGTCTTCGCTGTGTTGACTGCTTCAACTGCTGCTCAAGGTCTCTCACCTGTTGCACAATTCACATTGTTAACGTTGAATTCTATGTTGTTTTATTTGCTATCTTAGTGACTTTGCAAAGCACTTTATTAACTCTATAAATAACTGTGTAACCTTATTTGCAGAAGCACATTATTATCTACGTTATAATAAATTTTTTATCTTACCCTAGTCTGAAGAGCCAGTATCTGCTGAGAGCGACCTCTAAAGCTCCCAGGGCAGCTTAGTAATTGCTGAAGGTTGACCTCCTCTCCAACCTCACTGATCAAAACCTACAACAGCAGGAGCAGTTCATATTTTGGAATACAGAAGTCACTGATGACTAATCATATGATTATGTGATATTCTTCTTAAACAGTTAGACTACACAGGAAAAAAACTGTACCACCTTCTGAGCTACTTTCAACTCCTGTTTGACGGCTTGAACCTGATTGCGATACTCAATCACTTTCAGCTGGGCAGCAGCAAATTTTTCCTGCAGTGATTTCACCACAGGATTTTCCTGCTTTTGTGAAAAAATGATATATGATTTAGATTGAGTTGCAATCATTCAAGTTAGGGAGGCATAAAAATATTCTTTTGGTGAATTTTAACCTCAATAATTACCTCACAGTCTTCAGATGACCTCTTGTCTTGTGACTTTGTGTCTACCTTTTGCCCAGGTAGAGAGTGCACCAAAGCGGCCTGCAGCTATAGAAAGGAGTATAATATTGCAATTATTCATTCTTCTCTCTGTAATACATCATATCATTTTACAAATATTATAAACAATCTATCTTTGTTTATACAAATATATGGTTTAACACAAATTATAAACAGCTGTGTGCTGAAATGATAAACATTCATCCAACATATAAAATGAAATGATATTCCTAATACAAAACTTTGATACCTCTTTCTCAAGCTCTTTGATTTTGTTGCTGTTTTGCTTGAATTTACTCTTTTCTCGCTCAATTTCAGCAGTCAGCTCTCTATTTTTCTTGGACAGCTCAACAATCTTGGTGGCTGCTATATCTCCTGCCAAACCAGATGTGCCTAAACAGAGTGGATGAGTCATGAGGAAGCTGTGACCTATCTATAGCATCATCACTGTGGTCCAAAATAAGTGGAAGTAATGTTATTATACCTGTTAAAAACAGTAGTTCTCCTTCTCTTTTCTTTTTCAGGTGTTGAATTTCAAAATCCTTTTCACTTAGAAGTTTGAAGAGCCGACCATTTTCATCCTTAAGCTCCCTCAGCTGGTCCATCAAATTTTGATTGTCATTCTGTAGCAGTCTATGGGAAGGTAATTAAAATGGATTGTGTCTAATTGCAAGTTAAGACCATGACAATTCATGTAGGTGATGAATATTTCACTTGAAGAATTCTAATGTGTGCTTATTTATATTTATATGTTTTGTTTAATTAGTCCAAACAATTTAAGCGGTCACTGAGTAAAAAAACTTTAGTTAACATTTATTTCAGCATTTGTAAGACTTACCTGTCTTCAAGATTGTCTGCCAAAATACCTTTCTTAGACAGATCCAAATCATCCTGGGTAACACCATTATTAAGCCTATTTGGTACTTTCTCCTTTTTCCTATCCAGTTTTCTTTTCTCCTGCTGTTTTTGTAGCGCTTGAAACTGAAGCCGCAGATCATTCAGTTCATCATCATGCTCCATGATCTCTGGTTTATGGTATAAGGAGAAAATAATCCACTTTTAAAGGGGGAAATGGCAGTGGAAATCAATATAGACTCTCATGGACTCTATTTGAAAGCTGCAGCACGGTTAAGTGGCGCACCTTTACCAGTATAGCAATCTTGGCTCCATTGTTAACTTGTCTTACAGACAAAGTTATAATACTTGTTGTTTAAATAAATGCCTTAAATGTTTATTCATCCTTGTGAAAGTAACGTTAGCAACAAAAACAATAGCTAGCTAGTCCTCTTCATAGCTCCTTAAGATGGCATCTGACAGCCCTCCTTCTTGTTGTGCATCACATGGTTATGTTGATGACCCTTGTAGCCTAAGTGTGGCAAGTCATGAGCCTATAAACAGACTGAAACTGATTACCCCAGACTTGTTGGGGAAAAAATCCATTACAACATTAATGTTTATGATCATTTCAGTGACTGTGAACACGTTGGATACCTCCCACTCTATTAATCCTACTCTTTCAAGTTCTTACTAAGTGGCATATACGTTAAGGTTGTATAAAGACAAAATAGCTCACCTGTAATTTATCCAAGTACCGCCCTTGTAAACAAATTAGAGGGTGTTTTGCATTGAATCATTTTATCTGGTAGGTGAAGACTCTGTAGCAGCTTCCTGATTGCGACGCTACGGTATCTATAGCAACGGCATCCAGAGACAAGATCTCGCGGGACTACTAGTCTGTAACGTTATAGTCAGGGCTGGGCAATAAAACAAAAAAAGACAACCTAATTATCGCAACATAATTTTCCTCAACAACAATACAACATATGTTCAATAAATGTTCAATAGGCTAAATGTTTGATTTAATTCATTTGAATCACAAACAAATTAGCACCTTTTTATATACAGTCTATGATTAGCACTTAAGATAAGTGAAGATTAAGCCCTTAAGATAAAATAAGATTAAGATATAACCTATTTATTTTGTTGAGGAAAAAGGACTGAAAAAAAGATTTAACCTAATTTTAGTCATGCATATTTGTTGAAACTTAAAAGAAATAATGATTTCAATGACAATCAATATCGAATGATATATTTTTTTAAATTGTTGTGATGACATTTTTGGCTGTGGGCTTATTGCTCAGCCCTAGTTCTAGTAAAATATTTTTCAAGTTGTCGATCTTTCACACATCTTTCAATTTTTCACATTTCAATTTCAAGTAAATTGAGGAAGAAGACCTGCAAGTGTTCTGTTTGTCAGTCGTTTTTTAATTTGGAGAGTAGTTTGGGGGAAGTAGGAGGCGGGAAATGAGGTGTAAAGTCAGCGACACTAACAGTTAACTTTAGGTTAACACTGGCTGTGTCCGAAATCACCCACTACTCACTATATAGTGGACTATATAGTGAGCTTGCCATTTTGTAGTGCTGTCCGAATGTATAGTAAGAGTCATTATACCCTATATAGTCCACTCAATGTATCCCAGAATTCATTTTGAAAAGTAGTTTACAACCGGTGGTCACTAACCAAGCCCTACATACCATGATGCATTGCGCTGATAGAAAAAAACTGATTGTCCGACGGCAATGAGGAAATTAACGACCGATCGGAGTAGTGTCCGAAAGTGTTGTTTTAATAATGCGAGTGAGCTCACTATATAGTGCTCTACATACCACTCCCTACATAGGGGCTAGGGAGTAGTGAATGAGTATATGTCTATGGGTTAACAGGTGCAAAACCTCTTGATTGATTAAAGAATTATTCTTTGCTAAACTATGCCAAATTAATAAGTGATGTCCAACTTTTACTATAGTGGTACGGTTGGTTTTGCTGTAGGCTAGCGCTATCAGTAGTTAGGAATATATTGACCTTGTTATTGACATTACGGTGCAAAAGGTGAGTTCAAACGTGCCACAAAAATCTTAGCAAAAGAGTTGCAGGTCACAGCAGATGTGAGGGAGAGAGATGCTTGCTGCAGGTCCCCGCTCAGAGGAGACTTGCCTCGTCTCTCAAGGGCAGCAAGAATCGTGGTCGAAAACCTCGAAAGACCTACAAGTAAAGTAGGCTATGTATAATATTAGCAGTAGGCCTAGTAGTATGTAAAACTAGAGTCAAGCCTTTATCATTGAGCAATATCCTACATGACCACAAGGGGGCAAGATCGCAGCTTTTTGCAAACTGCCAAAGGTAAATAGCCTAGACTATGGGATATAATAGGTGGTAAATGCACAATAGCACATTCATTTTGTTTTGTGAGGTTGGAAAATACTGGCTAAAGATGCAAACATTGCCTGTTTAAACCATGTATGTTCTTAGTTTTAATTAACTCTTGAAACAGAAAAGAGGAATACTTCTTCTTATTTTCCTGGAAATGTAAATCCATATTTAAGTAGGCCTACCTCAGTCATCCCTTGATACATATCCATGTAATATTTGTGTAAACAATGCAAAGCTACAGAGTTAGCATTGTCAGCCTACGTGCACCCTCAGGTGTTAATTTGGTGGACTAAACAAGTAGGTACCTGACAAACATGCTCTCCACTTGAATTTTTGTGAGGTACACGGCATTACCTTGTACATGAAAGTTGCATAATATTTACTGGATCTCAGGTAAAGACATTTTATTGTGAGTAAGAGTCTACTCATCATCACAGCAGTTCCCAAAGTCACAATGACACAGCATTTTAGGGCATATTGCTGCCTTAAATTAGTGTGATGTATTTCTGTTTGAATTGGATCCTATGGTGGGGCAGTGCACAGGAAAGCATAACATTAAGATATCCACGAGGGCAATCAGATTTTTTATTTGATGGGAGTGGTAGGGTAATTTTCAAAGATGTTTAATGGTTTTATTGGTTGGAATTTTTGGACAACAATTGGTTCACAATGAAGTGAGCACTAAACATGGTCTATTCTCAGGAAACTAAGTTCACTTTTGGCCTCAGGTGAGGATAACAAAGATGGTCATTCATCGTGGGGCAAGACACACTACATAGCAGCTTTTGACAAAATGACAAAGGTTTAGGAGTAGATTAGGGGTATATAAACTCTTTAAACAGAAAAGTGAACTATTCTTCTCATTTAACAGGTTCTTATTTTACAAGTACCTCAGTCATCCCTTCATACACATCCATGTATAATTGTGTGTACAAAGTATGGGGAGTGATGGAAGCTACGGGGTCATTACTTACATGCACCCTGAGGTGTTACTGTGTTGGACAAAACAAGTAGGTACTGGACATACACTCTACTTGCATTTTTGTGAGGTACAGAGTGTTACCTGGTACATGACAGTTGCATAATATTTACTGGATCTCAGGTAAAGTCATTGTGCTCTTGAGTGATAGCCTACTCCTCATCACCACGCATTTACAAAGTCACAATGACACAGCATGTTAGAGCATATTGCTGCCTTAAATTGGTGTGATGCAATTCAATTGAATTGGATCCTAGGGTGGGGCAGTACACAGGAAAGCATAAAGTTAAGATATGAGGGAAATCAGCGGTTTTATTTGATGGGAGTGGTAGGATAATTTTCAAAGATGTGTGATGGTTTTATTGGTTGGAATTTTTGGACTGGTTCACATGAAGTGAGCACTCAACATTGTCTCTTTTCAGGAAACTAAACAAGTTCACTTTTGGCCTCAGGTGAGGATACCAACATAATCTTTCAGACTTAGCCTCGGGTGTCTCCACAGACCATAACGACTGTTGTTACAACAGTCAGGAACACTAACGAACCAGTAGTATTGATCCTCTTAACAACACCCCCACAGAGGCTAAAAGGTCTCCCTGCCTGTCATCCAGAAGTCTCTTGGATGAGAGATGAAACATCTTCAAGGATCTTCAACAAAGTCCAATTGCCCTTGATTTCAACCTTTCGTGGATTGTCCAATTACCATGAGATACAACAAGGTTTGACTTAACATACAAGAACATCATTTGTAAAAAGCTGCACATTTAATTAACAGTAAGCAAGGTAAACCTAACTAAAACGAGTGTAGTCTTCAATGAACCATACCATTATGTTGTAATGTTCACCTTTTGCTAGGTGTACATAGGCAACTGAGTGTGTGTTGGGATGTGTAACAAAAAAACTACAAAAGTGCAACTTGGGGAGGTTTCAAAATGTAGACAACTGATTTTTAGAATTACGAGACTGTAAATTTTTATTTCCAGAGAAAAAGCTAAAGACACAAACTTAACATTCTCAAAAATAACGTTCTGTATCAACACACAACATTAAACTCAACATTGTGAATAACTTAACAAGGCATCTATTATAATATGATGTTTAATAGATTACTGTACAGTCTGATCGTGTACCTCAGTTTGTTTAGCTGATATATCTCATGAAGACTTGTGAAGCTGCTAAAATGAAACAATGGACTGCTATTTATCACAATATGATGATACAAATATGAATAGAAGACTTGGCATTTATTAAATTTTAGTTATACAGAGTTTCATTGGTTTTTTGTTCTGTTTCCTATTTCCATGTATTTACTTTTTTATACCTTTGTTTAGTAGGACAATCTGACACTGTAATGAGTCAAAAACTATTTGTGTCCTTGTTAAAATAATGTGAAAGCATGGGCCTTTTCTGTAGGCCACATGTTGTCAAAGGTTTCCATAACATTGTATTGTTGCACTGCGATGCCCAAAAAAGTGGGCTTAGGTGCAGAATTTTTGATTTGGCAAAAATCCCTACATCAGTACATCAAAGAACATAGCAACAAAACTCCATCAGTAATGTCACCTGTCCATACAGATATCAAACCAGCTGGGTTTCCAACTGCAAACAGTGTGCACACAGTGTGTAACCAGTGTTAGAACAGATCAGTACACCTTCTCAATACAGAAGTGATAGCTTGACCCTCACTTAGAGGACAGAAAGTATAATCAGTGAGTTATAACTATTTACATTGGAAGTGAGCTGCTGAAGGGATGTGTGCATACAAAAATGATGACACATCTGTAAAAATAAACTTTCTACACACCTTAATATGAGGTAATATTAAGGGACATACA